TTCCGATGGTTGTGTTTTTGATGCTAGTGGATCCGATGGTTGTGTTTTTGATGCTGATGGTTCCGGTGGGGGTGGTGGCGGTGGTGGTGGTGGTGGTCCAGTTGTTTTTGCTGGTTCAGCTTGTAATTTAATCTGAATTGTAGCCGTTTCTTCTTTTCCCGATGTTGTTGATGTTGATGTTGATGGAACTGTTATCGATTTATTCTGTGGATCTTTTATCTGTATCTGTATTACTGGTGGTGGTGGTGGTGGTGCTTTTGAATTTTCTTTTGATTTACTAGCACCAATAGTACTGCTACTCAAATCACTACTAGCTGATGTTGTTAATTTATCATCATCTTTAATTGTTAATTTAATTGTTGCTTTTTCAGCACCAGCTTGATTAATAACAATATTTTGTTTACCAACAAAATCTTTTTCATCAATTTGTATAACAATTTTTTCCTTTTTACCATCTTTTGATGTTGTTGTTGTTGTTGATGTTGGTGTAACAACAATTGAATCAGATTTTGAACCACTTGTACTAATTGTTATCGGTAATGTTGTTTTTGATTGTGTTTTTGATTGTGTGGATGATTTCAATGAAAATTCTTTAATTTTTTTACTTGGTGTTTGTAGAAAACTACCTAATGTTTCTTTAACTGATGCTAATGTAATATTAACATCTGAACCTTTTCCTCTTATTGGATAACGAGAATCTTTTCGATATTTTGATTGATCACCTAACATACTAACACAATCAAATATTGTATAACTAATAACTAATATGGATAAAACATCACCAATTATCAAGATAACTTTATTTATATTTTGGTTGGTTATAAAAAAAAACGAAAAAATTTAAAGTTAAAAATCATTGTTATAATTAACCCATTTGACATATTATACATACAAAATAATAAACGACTTATACATGTAATTGAATCAACATCGATTGTAGTAATTTCCGTTACTACTTCTTGATTTTTACCATGTATAGTTACTTCGGTAGCTTTAGTAGAAATAACGGTTAAAATATTTGTTATCATAATGATTGTGGCCATTCGTTGAATTGTAGACATCATTTTTTTCATATTCATCATCATTTTAAAAAAAATTAACACTTGAGAAAACAGAGAGGGGAAACACAGAGAATTTTTCAAAGAGAGAAAAAAACACACAAAAACAAGAATAAAAAAGTTTAATAATATTAATAATTTTCTGTAAAACATTCGTATTTAAATTGAAAACAAAAAATTCTTGAATTTTGTTCTGATTAAATTTGCTGTCGTTGTTTTTGATTTTCCATTGTTTGTTTGTTTGTTATTTCGATCGATGATTGATTTGTTTTTGAAAAAAATTGAATTAATTTTTTTCCCATAACAACAAATGACCATAATTTCCTTGGGAAAACAAAGTTTGTTTGATTTACATCATCATCATTATCGGCAACTAAATTACTGCTGATGTGTCATTTATTTTAGTTTTAGTTGTGAGAAAACTTTTAAATGGAAAAAACTTCTTGGAACGCTGAATGAATGGGAAAGAAAAACATTTCATTATAAAGAAGAATGTATTTTTTTGTGTCTTGAAGAATGATTTTCATTTTAATTATTTTCTTTCATTCATTCATTTTCTTTTTAGGAAATGGCTATATTGAAGGTCGTGAATTGGATAATTTTTTACGTGAATTTGTATCATCAGTCAATGCTTCCGATGTTGGTGCTGAGGTATGTTGTTTAGATTTTCTTCATTAACGCGTTCGCTACCGGAGATTTCGAAAAACACATAGAACTACAGCAAATAAACGACGCATATATGCGTCGCTGGTAGCGAACGCGTTAAATTTTTGTTTTATTTTAACGGAAAATTTCCCAAAAAGAACAATATTTTTTTCTTAGGTCATTTTAAATTGAAAAACGAAATTTCAAGGATTCGTTCATTTTGATTTTTCCTACAATTAATTTTAATTTATATAAAGTGTGTGTGTGTGTGTTCTAATAAGCGAAAAATTTATGTGATACTCGAGTATATAAATGATCGAAAGACCAAGTTTCCTCTCCTATCATTAATTGTTTTGCCTGCAAAGAAACATTTTCATTAATGATGATGATAGAACCAAACAGAAAACTTGTTATAAAGCAGAATTTATTTATGAAAAAAAAAATACATCGAAAATATATTTCAAGATAAGGCTTATTTATGGTAATAATTTAGTTTGTTTTTTTGATAGTTAGTTAGTTATTCTTGTCCTTGGTTGTTGTCCTTTTTTCCACTTTATCGGATTTAATGATAAATGAAAATGAGCAAAATGTTAAGAGAATTATTTACGGAAATCATGTTTTATGTTTCTTTTCCGAAAACATTTCCGTTCATTTATATTTTTTTGGAAAGTTTTTTTTCATCCACAAATAATTTTTATTTATCGATTTTTTTCCCGTTGTTTTCTTTCAAATCTCATAGGTAGTAACCGATTCAATGTTTGCCGAATTGAAAGAATGTTTTATGGAATCATTCGATGTAAATAAAGATGGTAAAATTGATATACGTGAGGTATGTATGATTTGTTTTTCTTTTTAAAACAAAATTGTAACCAGTGTATGATTTTAATGAATCCAAGAAAACGAATCAAACATAAAAATAAACCAAAAAAAAAGAAAAAAATGAATGAATAAAATGTTGAATAATGGTTGATGTTTGATTTTCCATAATAATGATAATAATAACACGAAAAAAAAATCAAAACATTTCCGAGAATATTTCCGAAAATATTTAAATGTTTTGTTATTGTTATTATTACACACACAATACACCTATCATTATTCTGACTTTACCTTTACAATCGCAATCGCACCTATGTGCACACACCAAAAATTCTCATTATAATTTTTTTTTTTTGTATCGAAAACAAAAACAAACATACAAAAAAACCGATCATCATTATCAATGTATCCATCATTTACCATCATTATCATCAAATTCTTATTCTTTTTTCACAGAATCATAACAGTTTTCTGTTTACATTTGATATATCCGGTACATTGCATGAAAAAAGCAAAAAAGAAATGTATTTTTCTCGCGCACTCAAATCATAATAAATGATAGGCGTAGGTGTGTGTGCGTGGATTTAACATGTCATTATTTTCGGTACTTCTTTTCGTTCAAATTTTAGTTTTGTTTTCTCGATTCACACATCACATATGATCATATCAACCTGAACGAAAATTTACATTACGAATCGAATCGAATAACACAAAAGACATTATTGACAACAGAAAGATGCATGGTAACCGTGAAAAAATTCAAATTGTTTGTCCGCAAAACAAAAACTTTTGGCATCATTTTTTTTTCTTTGTTGAATATTCTTTGGTTGTAGTCTTGTTTGACAAGAAAAAATTTCTTGTTTCTCTTCGGTTTTCCTCTCGGTTATTTTCTTATTGACCGAATTTTGTTTTTTGTGTTTTATTCTGGTTGTTATCGCAATACGACCATCATCCATAATTTGTAATCGAAAAATAAAACTGACAACCGAAAACAAAAAGCAAAAAGCAAAAAACAACATTCAAACCGAGCAGCTGTTGTTGTTTTTTTTTCAAAAATACATCCTTTTCATAATAAATTCTCTCCAATAATAATAATCATCATTTTTGGTTGTAAAAAAAATCTACCCACTTCTTCCCCCATCAGAAAAAAACCCTATAGTCAATTTTTTTGTCTACCTATTCTTTTTATCAATACCATTATCATCATTATCATTTTTTTGGGATGTTTTTTCTTTTGGTTTGGCGAAAAAAAAGAATGATTTTGCCACCGAAACACACACACACACCTTTTTAAAATAAAATAAAAATCAAAGTGAAAAAAGCTTAGCGGTGAAGTAAAAGTTTTGTTGAAACATATACAGCAGCAGCCCAAAGAAGAAATCCATTTTTTTCACTGAAATCCATTTTTTTTCATTCAAAACATATGTGGCCCAAGTAAAAAAAAAAAGTTTCAAACGATAATGAGATAGGTATTATTTCTTGAATCGGAAGAGACCATAATCATCATCATAATCATCATCATCATTCTGTCGGTAATCAACATTCGTTTGTTGTTCATCGTTGATCATCATTTTTGCTATCTTTCTACGATTGACAACCACACACCACGATGATGTGTTTTTGTGTGTATATACATTAAAAAACATGGATGTATGAATGTCGTTAGAGCTGTGTTGGATGTAAAAAAAAAAATTCATGTAAAATTTATATAATGATGATGATTACTTTGTGTTTCTGGGCTTGTGTAACCAGTTTTTACCGACCGCATTTTTGTTTTCTCTCTCTCTTTCTCCCTCTCTCTCTCTTTCTCCCTCTCTCTCTCGGTTCTCATTAATTCCAAAATATTTTTGATTACCAAAAAAGAATTAATTTTTTCAAATTCTTTCAAATGTTTTTCTGCATCCTTTTTTTTCCAGATAGAAAATCACCCAACAAATGATTTCATTTTTCAATTTTTAATTTAGAAATTTTTTCTTTCGCAAATAGATAGATAAAGTTATAAATAATTTAACAGGGAGAAAAAATTTCATTACAAACAACAAACAGCAATCAATCAATCAACCAATGAATAATGTATCAAAAAAATTTTTTTATCCAGAATTTCGTTTTCATCATTTTCAAAATAATGGGGAAAAATGTTTACAAACACACAGACAACATTATCATTAAAATCAACTTTATTATCCTAATTGTACTTACAAAATTCCAAGGGTTTTTTCGCTGTATCAAGTATCACTCCTGACAATCTCTTGATGACCAAGTGATCATTCATTCACTGTTCACTTTTTTCATTGGTTCTGGAATAGGAAATGAGAAATTTTTTCGGAAAAAATTTAATCAACAAAAAAAATGAAAAGAAAGAAAACTTTCCCGGAAACACATTTATCATTATGTTTTTCATTTCTTTTTCTTTTTTTCAAATTCATATAGCTAGCTCAATTGTTACCATTGGATGAAAGTTTTCTTCTTTTATTTCGTTTTGATAATCCATTGGAATCATCGGTTGAATTTATGAAAGTTAGTTTTGTTTTGTTTGTTTGAAAACAAAAATCAATCAAAAAAAAATCATATTTGAAATTTTTTTTCCAATATCTAGATTTGGCGTGAATATGATACCGATGGTAGTGGATTTATTGAAGCCGATGAACTAAAAGTAAGTTGAATTCAATGAATGAATGAATGTGAATTCTTAACATTTTTTCCTTTGCATTTTTATTTTCATTTTTCTTCATCAAGAATTTCCTAAAAGATTTACTTCGTGAAGCAAAACGTGAAACAATCGATGAAGATAAATTAATTGAATATACTGATACATTGTTACAAATATTTGATTCAAATAAAGATGGTAAACTTCAGCTTAGTGAAATGGCAAAGTAAGTTATTTAACCCAAACAAAACAAACAAGCAAACTTTTCGATAAATCTCTCGGTGATTCGGTGTGCTTGGTGTTCAGATTCTTCGCAGATGTTTTTAGTAGTTTTTTTCTCTAATTTTTTTTGAAGAATTTGAATTTTCGTGTGTTAATGTCATTAATTTGAAGAAAAAAATTTTCAAATTTCAATGTAATTAACAAATTTTTCACTCAAATTAACATTCATTTTCAAATCTTTGTCGAATACCTGTATGGTGCAACGAACAATTTCTTTTCTTTTCGATTACAAATGAGTTTTTGTTGAAAATTTTTTGAAATGGGGAATTTTTGATTTGATTCTGTCATTCACATTGGATGTGTTAATAATGAGAAAAAAGTGTTTTCTACTGCCTAAAGGTTTTTAGTTAGTTATGGCACGCGAACACACGGGAAAATAAAAAGAGAAAAGAAAAAATCTCAAGTCTTTAATTAAGACAAATCATTCCATTTTCCAAAGAAAAACACAAAATAGAAAGCAGAATCGAAACGCGAAACTCAAATCAAACCAAATCAACCAAACAAATAACCTACATAGACTCTTTCATTCTTTATGGATCCATTAATATTTTCCTTGAACAAAAAAAAGTAAACTTGAAACTTTGTTGTCGTTTCTCATTGCATGTTTTTCTTTCTTTTTTTTTTGATATCGTCATTACAAGCTTCCACCATCAAAATTGTTGTTGTGATTGACAAGTGATCGCCCACCAACGTTTTATAATTCTTTTTTTTTCGTAAGAAAAATGTCTCAAACGCTATTTTTACATGTTAGATTTTCGTTTGTCTACGTTCAATCACAAAAAAAAAAAATTCTTAGCATCTACACACACAGTGTGTGTGTGTGCATTCTGCAGTTCACTGATTTTCTGACGTTAATTCCTTGTTCGTTTGGTTCGTTCGTTGTTATTGTTTTCACATTAAATTCATCAACAAACAAAGAACAACAACAACAACAACAACAAAGTTTGATGCATAAGAATGGATGGTGGTGGATAATGGTGGCAGAAAAGTTTATGAAAATCACTTTAATCAATCTTATCAATGGGGGGAAAACAAACAAACAAACCAACAAACAAAAAGTCACATTATTAGTCTAATCCAATCCTATATAAGAGTGAGTTGATGGTTTTCTGGATTGATTTTCTTTTGAAAGAAAATCAAGGAAAGAAAAAGAGATAAGAAAATGAAAACATCAATCGATAAAATTATGGATTTTTTTTTTGCAATTCAAAAAAAAAAATTTGAATGAGATTTTCTTTGGAATTTTTGAATTGAAGTTTTTTGAAAAGTTTTTGTGAATCCAGAAGAAAAGAAGATAAAGATAATCAAGTTGAATTTGGAACAAAAAAAAGTAGAATTCCTATTTGAATTCGATTTTTTTATCGTTAATATTTTTTTCACAAGAAAAAAAAGGATCAAACAAAACTTTTAAGCTTGAAAAAAAAAAATTCAAATCAGTCAAATGTGGATGATTTGATAAAACAAAAAACAAAATCCTGATGAATTTCGACAGTGAAGCCAACATTTTGATTTAATCCCAGGCACTGACTTTGTCTTTTCCTTTCCTTTTCTTTTCGTTTTTTGATAACAAAAATTTTGTTTCTTTTTCTCAAAAATGATTTCACAGATTATTACCGGTAAAAGAAAATTTTCTTTGCCGTTCATCATTTAAAGGCGCTACCAAATTGACTAAACAAGATATTGAACGTGTTTTTGCATTATATGATCGGGTAATGTAACATTTTTTTCTCTTTTTATTATTCAATTTTTCAACCCTTTAACCCCGGTTATTATCATCATCATCATCAATAATAATGATAATAAGGATTTATTTTTGCCTTTTTGTTTGTTTTGTTTAATAAATAACAAAATAAACGACCCAAACACACACTATTAGGGTTAATGATAGGTTTCATTTAACATAATGATAAACGATGATTTTCAGAAATTTTATTTAGATTTTCTTGCTGATTAGTAGTATAAAAAAAAATTCTACTTTCCCAGAATATTTCTCAGTTTCACATGTTTTCATTTTTCTTCTTCGTCATCAAAAAAAAAGTTTGTCGATTACAGAATTTTTTCGATTACAGGAAAAAATTCTTGATAGTTTGCGTGTATGGTGTGTGTTTGTGTGTTTATGTCATTGTAGGATGGCAATATAGGAATTTAGATTGTTTCATCATCATCCATCATTATTGATGATTTTTTCGTTTTTTTTTTTTGGGTGAAAACTAACGGTGAAATATTGCCATTGGATGCTGTTGTTGTTGTTGCTGATAATAAGCATCAAGATTGTAGGCCAAAAAAACAATAGCAAAAAATGACCATTGAAAGTAGAAACAAAACAACAATTTTCTTAATATTCTTTGAATGACACAGGATTTTTGTGAAATTTTTTTTTTGTTGTTGAAATCATAAATTATTAGGGTTTTTTCCAGAACAAAAAATCTCTGGTAAATCTTTCCAGGATTTTTGTTTTGGACATTTTTTTCCGGGAAAATTTTCGCATTTTTAAAAATTCAGATTTTGTCAAAAAAATTTTTGTTACATTTTCATGTTTATGACCCAAATGACCAGATCTCCCTGCAAAAAAAAACATTCATTCATTATTCGTTAATGAAAAATAACCCTTCATTATTCAGAGGAAAATATTTCAAATTCTTTTTTTTTGCCTAATTCATTTCTACCCTAAATTACCAAATGACCATCGTACACACAAACGCAGAATTGTTGAAAACATTATTAATATTCATGTCACATTATTTTCCAGAAAACATTTCAACCAGATCATATATTTAGTGTCATAAATAATAATAATAATAATAATCTAATCTAATAAATTTTAACCCCTAATCACCTTATACAGGAGAAAAAATAAAAACAAACACACACAAAATGAAATGAAATGTGAGAATTAATTGTACACACATATATTTGATAATTTGTTTGTTTGATTTGTGGTCAAACAACAACAACTGAAGAAACATTTTCCCAAGAAACCAGCCTATTCATCGACCTAATAATTCATGTGGTTTTGTGGCCTGTCATAGGTTCTTGTTTTTTAGAGAATAATTTTCAAAAATAAAAAAAAGAGAAGAATATTCTGCTGCTGATGATGATCATCTCTGGTTTTTATCATCTCTATATTTGCAACAACAATTTGTTGTTGCTTGTTTGTTTGTTAGTCTAATTTAATTGGATTTGTTTCAATGTTTTTTTTTCATATCCATTTTTCCTTTTTGTTTTGGTTATGGATATTTCTTCTACCACTGAATATACCACTGAATACCTTCACTATCCCATTCTATATTCATTAATAATAACTGATAATGATAACTTTATCTTCCAATTCTATTCCGATTCCATTCCATGTTATTTTCATCATTACTAATAATAATAATAATGATTACTTACTATGTTTTTTTTTCTCTTTTTTCATATCTATTTTTCTCACAATCTCAATCTAATTCCATTATTTTTATTGTTGCCCATCACAACCATTCATTACATCCATGATGATGATGGCCCCGGATAATAGGATGAAAATGGAACGATCGAAAATGAAGAATTGAAAGGTTTTCTTAAAGATCTACTTGAATTAGTCAAAAAGGTAATTTTCATTTTCGTTTTTTGCTATTGTTTTTTGTTTGTTGTTTTTAGTTTGATTGATTATCATTATTTATTTATTTATTTATTAATATGGATCGCATATATCTGACATCAAATAATCAACCCAATAATGATAATATATCGAAGGATTATGATGCACAAGATTTGGATGAATTTCAAACAGCAATATTACATGGTTGCGATTATAATAAAGATGGTAAAATAAATAAAAAAGAATTAACAATGATTTTGTTGGCATTGTCAAAACATTCACAAGATGCATAGAAATGAGAAAAACCCGAAAAACAAAAATCAACTTTGACAACAACAATAATCTGATTTGGATTCTGGTTTTATTATTCTTTAGGGAAGTGGGATGCTACATTACATCAAACAGAACCGAATCAACAACAACAAAAAAAACACAGAATCGAAAATGTTTGATTTTGTTTTGATTAAATCATCATCATCACCAACACCAACATTAATCTGTTTTGTTTTTGAAAAAAAATTCATTTTAATCATTGTTTTTCATTCATTTATTCATTCAATCGATAATCTTCATCACTTATAAATCAATTATTCATATGTTATTCATACGAACACATTATCATCGCCTTTTTAAAATTTCGATTCCAAAAATCTTCACAAAAACAAAATAACTAAACTAAACTAAACTAAACTAAACTAAACTAAACTAAACTAAACTAAACTAAACAAACAAACAAATCGAATCTTTCGAATCGAATCAAATAGACCACCCCAATAGATTCAATCAATGATAATGCGCCCACCATGATGAATTTTGTTTTTGTTTTCATATCTCTCATTTTCTCTCTTTCTCTCTCTCATTATTTATCCATTATAGATAGATTATAATTATAGAAAATTTTAACTACTTAAAAATAATAATAATAATAAACAAACAAGTAACACTAACTATAATCGATCAAATGTTTTAGATCAATAAAAAATATCTTTCTAAAAAATATTCTCAATAGTATATTATCAGGAAATTGTACCTACATCAAGGTAAAATTACAAAATTTCAAACAAACTAACTAACTAAACAAACAGACAAAAAACAAAAAATTTACTGATCAAATTGACTAAATTGTAGTGTTGTTTGTATAAGAAGAAAGAAGATTATCGTTTTTTTGGTTTTTTTCCTTTTTGGTTTTTTGATCAAATATTTTTCATTCATTTCATTAAAATTTATTGAAATTTAAAAATTCTGTTTAAAATTTAATAATAAACATTTTTTTTCTCTTTCTTTTGATGATGATTGATTTTTCTCGCAAAACAATATCGAATAAAAAAACCGAAACCGCAGAATCGATATTGAAACAAATTCACAATTTCGAATTGGATAAGAAAAATCTAAATTCATCAGTATACTGTCGGTAAATTACATTATTTTCTTCAGTTTCATTTCATTACATAAAAGCTTTCCATTGATCATTCATTCAACAACAACAACAAAATAATAATAATAAATTAACAACCAAACAAAAACAAAAAAACTTGAACTAAATTCCCTTTTGGGCAATTTTTATCATTTCAATTTTCATCATAGATATTTTCATTTTCTTCGTTGGAAAATTTATTCTCAGTTCAGTTCAGTTCGGTTGGAACCTACAACGAAGCACTTTTTTATATAACATTAATTTTTCTTATTTGTTTTTTAGTAAAGATTCTATTAGTTTTCAGCGAAAAAAAAATGAAATGAAATGAAATGAATAATAAATGGCCAATGGATGAATGAAAAGAAGGAATCGTTGATGACCATAATAATCATCAATTTGAAGATATATTTCTTTTTCCGGGAAAATTTTCTCATTTTTTTTCGAAAAACAATAGAAATTTATCGGGAATTTCTTTTTCTTCTTTTTTTCTCAAAAATCATATTTTTGAATTTCAATTTGAATGATGATAAGATTCTTTATTTGAAAAAATGAAATGAAATTTCTTCATTGGATGTTCCGGCCAATTATTTTCGATTACATATAATATTTATAATGGTTGAGTTACCAAGGAAAACAGTTTTCCTATGTTGATTTTCAATAACTATTGATTATTATCATTGGATTTTTTAATGTCAAAAAAAACGAAAGGAAACGAAAGATGTTTTCTTTTTTCTTTTTTTGTTCTTTAATGACAAAACGAACAATATTTCAGCTTTTTTCATTTGAAAAAAATGAAGGATTTTAGTTTTTCTCCGGTTGTTGTAGCAAAAAGATTATGCAAACGAAAAGTTTTCGAAGGATATTTACAAACGCACAGATGATATTTTGGATTCGATTTGAGTTTGCGTACAAACTTGTATTCACCGAGTTTTCTCTTCTTGTTGTTATGAAATGAATTCGAGGTCAAAAATGAAAAAAATATTTTTCAAATAAAAAAAAACAAATAAAAAACACCATATTATTATCATATTAATGTTGTGACTTTTACTTTTTCATTGATCGTTTTCATTTTGGTATACGTTTTCCTAATTATTTTTCTTCAATACGATCGATAATTTTGTTGTTATTGTACGTGTACATAATCATCATCCCTTGACAACCAGCGAATTTAATTTGATAATTTTTTTATTTTGTTTGTCATTCGATTTTATACATTTTGTCATTCGTATACGAACTAAGCAATAAGTTGTTGTTTTTTTTCTTCTGTGATTAATGAAAAAAAAGATGGAAAACAAAAGCAATACACAGTTATTAATGTTAGGTCCAAAAGGTTTGATTGAAAGTGGTCAACGAACAACATCGATTTCAGATAATTGTTTAACAAAAGATCCAGCATTTCAAAAACTTAAACATTATTATGATGAAATTGCATCCAAAATGGTTATGAATGATTTATTCAATAATGATACGAAAAGATTTGATAAATTTCAGTAAGTTGATTGAAAATTGTAAATGATTTTTTTAATATTAATAAAATTTTTTGTTGAAATCCATAGTCTAAAATTATCAACACCATATTATGGTTTTTTATTATTTGATTATTCAAAAAATTTAATCGATGAAACCATTATGAAAAGATTATTTGAATTAGCTAAAAATCGTAATGTTGAATCAATGCGTGATCGTATGTTTGCTGGTGAAAAAATTAATTTTACTGAAAATCGTTCCGTATTGCATATTGCATTACGTAATCGTTCGAATCGTCCGATTATGGTTAATGGCCAAGATGTTATGCCTGATGTTAATCGTGTACTGAATAAAATGCAAGAATTTTCTCAACAAATTATTGATGGTGTTTGGACTGGTTATAGTGGTAAAAAAATTACCGATATTGTTAATATTGGTATTGGTGGTTCAGATTTAGGACCTGTAATGGTAACCGAAGCACTTAAACATTATCAAAAAGGTCCAAATGTTCATTTTGTATCGAATATTGATGGTACACATTTACATGAAACATTGAAAAAATTAAATACGGAAACAACATTGTTTATTATTGCATCGAAAACATTTACAACACAGGAAACGATTACAAATGCTGAATCAGCTCGAGATTGGTTTCTAAAACAAGCCAATAATAAATCATTTGTTGCTAAACATTTTGTTGCATTATCAACAAACAAAACAAAAGTTATTGAATTCGGTATCGATCCAAATTCAATGTTTGAATTTTGGGATTGGGTTGGTGGTCGTTATTCACTTTGGTCGGCTATTGGTTTATCTATTTGTTTGTTTATTGGTTTCGATCAATTTCGACAACTATTGGATGGTGCACATTTTATTGATGAACATTTTCGTCAAGCACCATTAGCTCAAAATTTACCAGTAATAATGGCTTTATTAGGTGTTTGGTATATTAATTTTTTTGATGCTGAAACACAAGCTATTTTACCATATGATCAATATCTTCATCGATTTGCTGCATATTTTCAACAAGGTGATATGGAATCAAATGGAAAATATGTAACACGTTCCGGGCAAACAGTAAATTATCGAACAGGTCCAATTGTATGGGGTGAACCAGGTACAAATGGTCAGCATGCATTTTATCAGTTAATTCATCAAGGAACCAGACTTATACCATGTGATTTTATTGCACCGGTTAAAACATTGAATCCGATTCGTGGCGGTCTTCATCATACAATATTGTTGGCCAATTATCTGGCTCAAACTGAGGCATTAATGCGTGGTAAAACTCGTGAACAAGCTGAACAAGAACTTCGTGATCAAGGCAAAAATGATGAAGATATTGGTAAAATTTTACCACATAAAATATTCGAAGGTAATCGTCCGACTAATTCATTTTTACTTGATTTTATTTCACCATTTAATCTTGGTGCATTGATTGCTTGTTATGAACATAAAATTTTTGTTCAAGGTATTATATGGGATATTAATTCCTATGATCAATGGGGTGTTGAATTGGGCAAACAATTAGCCAAAACAATTGAAAAAGAATTACAATCAAAAGATATGATTACCAAACATGATTGTTCAACAAATGCATTGATCAATATGATCAAAAATATTAATAATAAATAAGATTGATTCTCTTATATGAGAGATTATTGCAATAAAAGAAAAAAAAAATTATTATCAAAAAATCTAAAAATTTCAAATTTTTTTAAAAAACATTAAAAGGAAATGTCATAATTTGTCACGTTATCTATGAATTTCGTTGTTGTTGTTTTTCATTCTTTCAATTTTTTTTCCAATTTAATTATGCAAAAAAAAAATATTGAAAATTTTGGATATGCTAAAAAATTCGTCTCGCTGTTGAATCTCGATTAAAAATTAACTATTTTTGAAATAAAAAATTTGAAAAAAAAAGTTAATTAGAATCATAAGGGGGCAACCGGGTTTGAACCGGTGACCTCTCGATTGATGCTTTTGGATTCCTTTGGTTGTTTAATATTCGCCAATTAAGCGGAGAATATTTATTCAAAGTACTGCAGTCGAATGCTCTACCACTGAGCTATACCCCCTGACTCGATGTATAATATTGGCCAATTATAATTGAGAAACCTAAATTCTTGCCAAAATTCTTTTTTTTCCAAAAAATTCTAATAAAAAATTCTTGTCATTTTTTTCACATTGCATTCATTTTTTATTATTCTTGAATCAAATGAAATGATTATCAAAGAACAAAGAAATCAAAGAAAAATTGGAAGAAAATTAAATCCTTGTTTTTTTTAGCCGCAAAAAAAATTCATTAATAAATTCAGCACCGTCATCTATGAACATTGTTCGAAAATATTTTTAATACGCTGCTAGCAGCTGTGTTTATGGTTGTTGTTTTGTTTTTTTCATTTTGCATTTTCATTTTGTTGATGACGATGATTTTGCGATAAAATATCTTTTTTGTTTTTACGTTTTGATTACCAAATTTCTATGTTTTTTCTGTCTATTGACATCATCAATCAATAATTAAAAGTAAAAACAAAACAAAAGACATTTCAAATATTCTACGTCTCAACACCCAAACACTCGATAATTGTTGAATCAATTTACATTTGTTCTGGATTTTCTATTGATTTATTTTACAACAATTTTTGTTCAAAGAAAAAAAACGAGTCAATCCGGCTACATTAATGTTTTTTGTGTGTTTATAGTCGTCGAATTTTTATTTTTAAGTTCAAAACAAAAAAAGTTTCAAACAACCGACAATTTTTTAATTTTGGATATCAATCAACAAAGTAAAATCGAAAAAAAACATGGAGGCCGTACCAAGATTACCAATGTTATCATTCGAAATGAAAATCAGTCCTGTTTGTCCGGATTTTGCAATGCCATTCAAAAGGGTAAACATTTTTCTTTTTTGCACTTTGTTTTTGGATCAATATTTTCTTCAACGAAATATTTTTATTTCTCTCTTTTCACACAGTTTATCAGCAAATATTATGGTGAAGATGGTGATATTTATGATCGTGAAATATTGGAATTGGAAAATTTACGTAATGTAAGAGAGTATACTCAAAATTGAATGAATCTAAAATCAATGTTTGTTTTTCTTTTTGGTAAATTTTTTCTTTTTTATCTAAATTTACAAATAATCAGAATGCATGTCGTGCACCACGTGATGTAACTGGATGTTCAATTATGAAACGTTATTATTGTCAAATATCAAGTTTATTTAATCGTTTTGGTTCATTTGAAAATAATAATATCGGTGTACAATGTGTTTGGGCGGATATTTATTCCGGACAAACAACTATTGGTGATTTAGATTTTGAATTAGCTTGTATATTATATAATATTGGTGCATTACATGCTGATCTTGGTGCAGCAGCCGATGGTCGACAAACACAAGAAGAAATGAAAATAGCTTGTACACATTTTCAATGTGCAGCATGGGCATTTCAACATTTAATTGAAGATCGAAAATTATTTCGTACATCCGATATAAGTAATGATGTATTACAATTTTTCGTACAGATAATGTTAGCACAAGCACAAGAATGTATATTGGAAAAATCAATGTTAGATAATCGTAAAGCATTAACAGTAGCAAAAATAACTGCACAAGTTGTTGATTATTATCGTTGTGCAATGACAATGTTACAACAAGGTGCAATGAATACTAGTTCAACACAATCATCGATTATTGAAATTGTTGGTGGAAAATTATTTAAATCATGGAAAAAATTTGTTGAATTTAAATTATCATATTATGATTCAATTTGTTCATTATATATGGGTAATGCAACTGAAGATCAACAACAAATGGGTGAACGTATTGCATGGTATGAATTGGCATTGGAAAAAATTCAATCAGCTACAACACTTGCTAAACAATTAGATGATAATCATGGTTCATCATCATCATCAGTGATTAATGAAGCAATTTCATTTGTTACCGATGTTATTACAATTAAATTACAGAATGGAAAAAAAGAAAATGATTTTATTTATCATGCAAAAGTGCCACCAATTGCCGGTTTACCTGAAATAAAAGGTGTATCACTTGTAAAAGGTATACCATTCAATGTATGTGATCCTGAAGTTTCTGGTCCGGATATATTTGCTCGTTTAGTACCGATTCAGGCACATGAATTAGCATCAATTTATTCGGCTAAAAAAGATGAAATACTTCGTAATATTCGTGTAAAAATTGAGGAAAAAAATCAAGAACTAATGTCATTCATGTCATCATTGTTATTGGATAAAGAACATCTTCGTGCTCCCAAAGAAGATTCTATACCGGATGAATTGATTAATATATGTGCCGAACTTAGCCTACATCCCGAATCAGTGGAAGAAGTTGCAAAAATTTTAACACAATTAGATACTGTTAGTCATGATACTGGTAAAATTATTGAAGAATCACGAGAATTATTAAAAGAAGAAGAAGAAAAAGAACAAAAACATCAGGAAAAATTTGGTAAACGACCACCATCAATGATAGTAGTTGAATTATCAAAAGAATTGGCTAAACATGAAGAAACACATAAAAAAGCAATCGAATCAAATAAATCATTATGGGATAATTTTGATCAACATAAAGATGATATACTAATAATGATGTCATCATCGGCATCAAAAATTGCATCAATTTTACCATCGAATAAAAATATTAAAATTGATGAATCGATTGTTACTGAAATGGAAAGATTATTTGATAAAATTGATGAAATGAAAACACAACGTTCAACATTAGAAGATCAACTAACAAAACAAATGAATGATGATAATGTATTGAAATTAGTATTGGCACATCCACGTGATGAAATTGAAAGAATTTTTGATGATGAAATAAAAAAATATGATAAAATCGTTAACCTTTTGGAACAAAATCTAACAGCACAATCAAATATTTTACGTGCAATGACTAATTGTAATGCAGGTTATGCTGATACACGTAAAGAAATTCTTGAAATTCAACGTAATCGTAAAACACGAATAGCATCATTGTTGTATACATATCAAGTGTTTCGTGAACTTCAAGTAAATTCGAAAAAAGGTTTAGAATTTTATCGTAAATTTCAATCGATTGTTGTACGATTAAATGCACGAATACGTGGTGTAAGCAAAGTACAGGATGAAGAAAGACAACAATTTATACAGGCTCAAGCATCACGTTTGATGATGGCTAAAGGTGGACCTCCATCATCATCATCATCTACATCGGTTGGTATGATATCAACACCTCCACTTCCACCATCATCATATGATTATGGATCATCAAATAATATTGGCACTGGAATGTCTGGAATGTCCATTCCAACAATGATACCGGCAACAGGTGCAAAATTGAAAGATTATCTTCCATTTATGAAAGCAAATGCTGCGAATCGTTCCAATTTAATGTCCAAACCATCATTACCATCTCAATCGACAGTTATCACTGGTAATTCTTCAGGTATGATTGTTCCACCAGTTTCTTCATCGTTTGCTCCATCTGCACCATCACCATCATTAACACCAACACCTCCTATAATGCAATCAATGACAAATTTTGCACCAAATATGATGATGCCTCCAGTTCAATCAACAGTTGGTCAAACATTTGGTTCGATGGTTGGTCAACAGTCGCAATCACATCATCAACAACAACAACAACCAATTGCACCGCATTATAATAGTCATTCAAACAGTGATCTTCAAGTAACACCTGGAAACATGATTGCAATGTCTCAATATTCACCACCACCATCATATTCAAAAGCAATTTCTTCTCATTTGCCATATGGTTCATTACCTGTAATCAACAATAAAAATTCTTCAATAATACCGTTCAACATTCAACAACCACAACAACAACAATATCCGAATAATATTGCCGTCGGTAATACTGGAGAATCAGTGAACACTACATTCAATCAACATCAACCAATATCATCGATATTACCGATCAATAATCCACAACAACTACAACATTATCCACTACCATCATCATCATCATCATCGACATCAACTTTGTCGAATTCTTCAATGATTCCATCATCAGCAACATATAATAATTATCAATATAATAATTCGAATACTGCTTCTTCGGTTGCTACTAATATTCCAAATTCCAATGTTATTAATGCACCAATGGCCGGTTATAATAACAACAACTATTCGCATTCATCAATATCGAATCCAATCGGTCAATCAAATTCAAATGTAACTAGCTATACTAATTATCCGACTAAACCAATTCAAGGTACAAATGTTGTATATCATCCAACACAAGCAAATATTATGACAAATAATAATAATACGATTGGACAACAACAGCAATATTCGAATCAGCAATATGTTCATCAACCACCATCGTTGCCATCTTCACAACAGCCACCATATCCGGTAGCACCATCACCAATGATGCCTTCATATCTTGGTACATCTAATACAACAACAACAACAAACGTTCCAAAAAACATACCGAATCCAATACATTCATCACAACAGCAACAACAACAGCCTGGCTATCCAATTGGCGGTTATCATGGTATGCCACAACCACCATCGCAATCATCATATCCGCAAACAACAATGATTAATGGATATCATCAACATCAGCCACAACAACAACAGCAGCAACTGCAACCTGCTACTGATCCAGCAACAAATATAACGGCAATATTGGAACAAGAATCAAAACGTGGTTGGCAAGTATTGACACCAGTACCTGCTGCAACACCTGTGATAAAAAATGAAAATGATGTTAATAATGTAACAAAAAATAATGATAATATCAAATCATCTTCATCATCATCATCGTCATCGGATTGTTTACCCGATATATTATCAACAATGTCATTAAATGGTAATGGTGGTCAACAACAGCAACAACAACAATCGCAACCATCAACAATGATTAAATCAGAAATTTCAACAACAACAACGACAACAACAAATGGACAGACGACAAATTCAATGATAGCCAGTAATAATAATGATAATAATGTTAAAGATAATAATGAACCAAAAGATTTATTATCACAATTTGATCCATTATTTACATAGATGAAAAATATATTGATGTTTCAAATTCTAATTACAGATACTGAATTGATGAATTTTTCTTTTTTTAAATGTTTCCTTTCCTTATTCAGTTTTCATTCTCCTGTCTATTTCTCTTGTGATTGATCAATATCAAAATATATTGAACACAAAACAAAAAAAAACTTTCTTAGTAAAACAGATCAGGTTTGTTTGTTGTGTGTTTGTGTTTGAACAAAATTATTAACAAACTGTGTAAAACTTTGACCATTTTTATATGTTTTTTCCCATAATTATCATTCACAAATGTTTTACTTGTTTAAAATGGATAAAATACTAATAATGATGATGATAATTAAAAAAAATTTAAACAAGAATTACTTTTGATTAACGCTATATATGAATGAACAAACAAAAAAATTGATATTCGAATATCCGTTATTTTCATTCGATTATTTTTGTTGAAAAATTTCATTTTCTCTTTAAATATTTTCTCAGAAAAAAAATCTTTTTTAAATCCGAATTACAAAACAAAAAAACAAGTTTCTCTCGCATTTTTTTAACCTTGTTTGTTTGTCTGTTGTATAATAATCATCATAATTTGTTTTTTTTTCTTCATTCAACTACGACGACGGCATTCTTTTTATCTATAGAAATTCATTTTAATCACTTGAAAATTTCTCTTTCATTTTGGATTTTCCAAACACACAGCAAAAACCACAAGTAAAGAACGAAAATCTCTTCTTTCAATTTCATCGATGATGTCGTCTTAACCTGTTGATGATCGAAAAAACAACTTGTTTTTAATTTCTCTTTTATTTTTCTTTCTCGAAAATAATCCTTTTTTTCTTCGAAATTATTATCAACGAATCAGGTTGATTTGTATGGCCACAACGAACGAACAAACAAACACACACACACACATGATACAACGCGCACTCGGTTCTAAATGTCCTAAATTTTGTGATCTTTATTTTTTTTTCATCGAAAAAATATCAATGAATTTTTTTTCGTTTGTTTGTTACGACGTTTGTGTTTTCTAAGGCCATTCGAATTTGCTTAAAACAGAGGTTGAAAGAGAAAATTCAATGAAAAAAAAAAATGAATCAACATTAATTGAATCATCAAATAAAAGTAAAGTAAGTTATCTATAGTGATTTCCTATGTGAATTTGTGACTGAAAAAAAAATGTTTCATCCGGATATAAAGTCGCACAAGACAAGACAAACATCATTATCACATCATTCTGATGTGACAAATCAAATGTGAAAATTTTCCGATATTTTTATTTCCTAAATTTGAAAAATATTTTTCTGCTTTCAATTTTGCTTTCTTATTTGTTCCGGGTTATAGTGTGATTTAATTGTTTGGTAAACACGCAATTCTCTCCATAATTCCATCATTCATAACCGTAAATATTTTCAATCATTTTCAGCATTCGATAATTATCGAGATGATTTAATTTTTTTTATAAAATTTATTTTTAGCAGAAGAAGAAAAAAAAACACTGTGATCATCATCGGATCTGATCATATTTCCGATAAATCGAATAAAACAAGATAAAAATAGCTCAATGATGAATAGTAATAGTGTTCAAATATCGTCGTCGTCGTTCATGTTACCACCACCACATTCAATGAACAAAATCTTCAAAATGATACAAAATCTAAATTAAAACATGCCACATATAAATTGGATATATATCTTTAGCTCAAATATCTTGTCAAATTTTTCTGTGACAACGAAAAACGATACAATTCAATTTTTTGACCTATATTATCTAAATATGTTGTTGATGAAAACAACAACAAATCAACAATCTTGTCATCAAAATGATGGCAATGAAAATCTCAATTTTGATCAAAACAATTTTCTTTCATTCATTCATTTGCGGTTTGTTCATTTAACCGAAAAGCGATCCCATTTTGTTGTAGTTGTTTTTTTGCTTCAAGGTTTTCTTCTCTCTCTCTCTCTCTCTTCAACAACTTACAATAATATATCGATATTCAAAATCAAAAGAAACTTATCGAACAAAACTAATAATTTTCTGGCATTAATTCCTTTTTTTGCTCACACTATTCAATCCGCTTAATGTTTTTTTTTCGTTTTATACATCATCATGAAATAATTTGCGAAAAACGAACGAAAACAAAATCATTCCATTCATTTCCTGTATGTTTATTCATATTTTATGATGATTCAACATTATGTCATTTCCTTTGTTTGTTTCTTTGGCAAACACAATATTATTGCTCAAATTTCCTCAATATTCGAATGATAAACAAACAAATTACTCACATCGCTACAAATGTTAATTTTTTTTCATTTGAAAATTTTTTTATATTCTTGAAAATAATTATTCGAATTTCGAATAAAGAATCAGTTTGCTGTTCATAGAATCTGTGACTTGATTGTTTTTGTTGACGAAAAAATAAAAACAAAAACAAATATTGCATGTTGAATTTCATGTGTGAAGGTTAGAATTTTTGTTGTTTTTAAAGTTCTGCAGTTTTGACCTTTTAATTTGTTTTTAGTTTATTTTGTTAAAAATATCTTCGATTTTAAATTATCCTGTGTTTACACAAGTGTGGGTGATAGATTTATTTGCGTGAATGTTTATTTCTATACCCAGATTTTCATTTTTTTTTCTTGCTGATCGATAAATATTTATAAATTATCGATTGTTGTTGTTTTTTTTCACTTCAGATTTTATCCAAATTTATTTGAAATTTAATACCTTCAAAACAAAAAATATTGTTGATATCTTTTTCTTGATCGCACCATGTTAGCATTAACATTTTGGAGGACAATTTGATGACAAGTGCAAATTTTAATCATTTTCCATAAAAAAAGTACTTAATCTTAAGATTTTTTTTTCATATAAAATAATTGAATTTTCTTTATTGTTCTAATCGATCACTATGGTGATCATAATCGTGGTTTTTCGATTGAAATTATGATTTTTTTTTAGAAAAAGAATATAAACATTCAATTAATCACGTTTTTTCTCTTTCTTTTTTATTTTTATTGATTCAATAAATAGTGCAATAATCATTATCGGATTGGATAATAATCATCTTCATCATTCTCATTTTATTGTAGTAGAATTGTTCTATTTAGCCCGATTTAATTGTTATGTTTTAATTTATCGCAATCTGTTTTTAATTGTTATTATTTTCTTCAATTTCCTTGTTTTTTTTTTTGTTGTTGATAAAATACTCATCCAATACACGTCAAATTTTTTCTGCTATTCTTCACAAACATCTATCATCGATGGTAACAATTTCGATTTCGATTCGTAACAAATCCAATCTCATTCAAAGTTAAAACAACAACAACAACGAAAAATTTCCCCATTTGTTTAAAAATGTGTCCATTCATATTATTCACATTTTTATTCACCATTATTTTGTTGATGATTGAAATTTCTGCAGCATTAATATCGGTAACATTTAATGTAACCACCACATCTGCAGCAACTTTAGCTACAATTCAATTACATGAAGGAAAAACTACACCGATTGGATTTCGATTATCATCACCTTTTATCGATGAACTTAGTGGTCATTATAGATTTTTGGCCGATCGACCTGATGTAGCCAATATTATTAATAATAATGATGATGATGGTGGTGGTGGCGATGTTGTTGATAATGATCGTTACGATTTTGAAATCAAACCGACCGAAATCACACTAAATGATATTGATAAAAATTTTGGTTATCATGGACAATTCATTATCAAAGGAAATTTTCTTGGTTATTGTCGTGTTGAATTACAGAAAAAACGAAAAAATTCCGAATCTATTTGGGATACGATAATTCATTCAAATTCTCTGCGAAATAATTATCAACTACTTATTTCAATTTTACGAGATAAAGATCTCATATCAAAAGTTTTCATCTATTCAGTGGCCATAGTTGTATCGATATCTTATATTAATATGGGATGTGCATTAGATATACAAGCCGTTTCCGAAGTTTTACGAAGACCGATTGCACCTGCTATTGGATTATTTTCACAATATGTTTGCATGCCATTGGTATGTATTATTGAAAATTTTTTCGATATTCAAAATCAATTATTTTTTTCAAAACTATTTTACAATTTTAGATATCATTTGCATTAGCGACATTACTTTTTGAAGAAACCTATTTAAAATTGGGCATTTTTATATTCGGATGTAGTCCTGGTGGTGGTGCAAGCAATATGTGGACCGTATTGGTAAATGGTAATCTTAACCTAAGTATTACAATGACATTTTTATCGACAATGTTATCGATTGGATTGATGCCATTTTGGCTCTATACTCTTGGTCGTACAATATTCGAAGGAACATCAACAGCTCCACCATTTCGAAATATATTCACAACATTATTTACAATGGTCATCTTTTTGGGCATCGGTCTTCTTATAAAACAATTTATGCCTAAAGTTGCTGCTGTAAGTTTTACATTCTTTTTTGATTAAATTGTTTCATAATACATTTTTATATGACAGATATCTCGTCGAATATTGGCACCATTTTCCGGCCTAATGATCATATTTATTATCGTATTCGGAACTTATGCAAATTTCTACATGTTTAAATTGATGACCTGGCAAATGTTGGTCGCCGCTGCAATTAATGTCTGGTGTGGAATGTTTCTCGGTTTTATATTAGCATACGTGTTTCGTAAACCATTGGAAGATATGTTAACCATTGCTATTGAAACTGGTGTACAAAATACTGGAGTATCGATTGTTGTTTTGGGTTTGTCCTTAGGACAACCGGATGCAGATTTGGCATCTGCAGTACCTGTAGCTGCCTCCATAATGACACCAATACCATTAACAATCGCATGGTTAGTGATGCGACAACGACGATTTATGAGAAAAATTGCATCCGGTAATGATATTTATGTTAATGGTGGTGTTGAAAATCACAATCATGTTGATTTTTGTGATGAAAAAAATTCTGGACCAAATTCATTTGTATCATCAAATAGTAATCATTCAGGACAATTTCAAAATTATAAACTAAATTTAGATGATGAAATTTTTGAAAAGAATACAACATGTAGCGCCTTGACACAATCCAATTCTAGCGGTGATTCAAACCAGTATTTTAGTAAAGAAAATCTAAAGATCTGATGATCATCTGAACACTGATTGTTCAAAACAGAACAAAACAGAAAAAAATCTTAATCACACTGAATGTATTTTGTCATATTCAAATTTATCTTTGTTGATCTATTTTTAAAATCAAAATTTTTAAAATTTAAATTATTTGTTTCGCACACATGAACGATGATTATAATAAACGAAAAAAAATGAAAATTATTAAATAAACAAACATTTATTTATTCAATCCCAAAACCCGATTTTCTGTCAGTATTTTTTTGGTTGTTTTGAATTTTTCTAATGTTGACATATGTAATGTGATGCACAAATTAACTGCTATCGAATTTTTGATTTATACATCCAAATAGATGTTTGAGTGTGTATGTGTGTCTGGGGTGTTCGTGAGTAAAAAATCACAGAAAATCCAAAATTATTGTTTTCATCTTGAACAATTAACAACAAAAAACAACAATGATAATAATGAATTGATTACGTATGTTTATAGATGTAATATAATTTTCAAATGAATCATCAACACGAATCATCTATATCGATATCATCATTTCGATTATTATTATTTGAACGATTCGAACCACCATCACTAATCCATCCGCTATCTAAACGATCCGTTGATGATGATTGAAAACGATTATTGCCATCATTTTGTGGTTGCTGTTGTGGTTGTTGTTGTTGTTGTCGTTCACGGAAACGTTGTTGTCGTTGTTCTAAAAAAAATGTACATTAGAATTGACGAATTCTTTTCATACAAAGTACTTACGCATAGATGAGAAAAGGCTTAGAACAAAACGTGCCGGAACAGTAACAGTATCGCGTGATTCTTGTAATAAATGTTTATTACGATTTATAAGCTAATTTTGATAATGAACAAAAAAACATTTAAATAATCCATTTATGATTAAGAATTTTTAAATACTAAAAAAATTACCTTATTAGCTTTTTCCGGATCAAAAAGGCATTCATCAGAATCGGCACCCCAGATTTTTATATCATAATCAATGCCACTCGATGCTAATACTAATCAAAAACATGAAAGTGGAATAAGAATATGAAAATATTGTTTAAAAAAAACATTAATAAATCATACTTGGATCGGTAGGATGAGGTTCTAAACAATTGACAACATGTAGATCACCTTCCAATATCATTACTACTTCACCAGTTTCAATTGACCAGAAAAATATATGGCCACAATCACTACCACTGATGATATAATTATCTCCCCAGAAGGTAGCTTTTTTTATCTTCAATCACAAAAAACAAACAGGTGAAAAAAAAAATGAAAAAATAACATAAAATACATACCACAGTACGAGAATTTCGATGACCAGAAAATTTTTTAAAATTTCTTATTTTATATGTACGCGTACGTTTATGATCAAATGGTGTCGGTGTTGTAGAATTTAAATGATTACCAATAATGTTATTGTTGGTGTTCATCTTTGTCCTGTTAGTATTACGGCTATTAGCATTTCTAGTTTTACGACGTGATGATTGTCGTGAATCATTTGATGATGAACTACGGCTTCGTTGCCGTATTGAATTTGAACCAAGTGACGAAGTATCATGAAAGAATACACTGTCAGATGTTGTATCTGAATCAAAATCATCATCTTCTTGACCATCCTCTTCACCATCACCACCACCACCACCACCATCATCATCATTATCGACCATCGTTTGATTACCACGATCATCATTATTCATTGGATCATCATTATCATCCTCATTATTGTTTTGTTCACGATTTGAATAATAAGGATAATCAAGATCATCATCGAAAATCTGTATAAAATAATTCAATGAATTATCCGATGAACTTTCGGAATTATTATCCTGATCATTTGTATTTGTTCGTTGTTCACGTACAGTATTTGGTGTTTGTTGACTTTCATTCGATGATGATGATGAATTATTTGTTGCCTGTGATGATATATTATTATTACTGCTATTCGCTGTTGTTGTTGTACTTGTTTCATCTACACTTTCATTAAGAATATCATTACGAAGTGTATTACGAAATAATATGCTTAAGATTGTATTCAATTGTCGTAAACGATTACTTCGATTTGGCGTTGATGATGATTGTCCACCATTATTTTGACTCGAAGAATTTGCTGTTGTTGTTGTTGATGTTGTTGATGATGATGATGATGGTGATGTTGATGTGGATGCCGGATTCTGTTGTTGTGTTGATAAATTTGTTGATGATGTTGTTGTATCCGATTGTTGATCAATATTGCGTAATTCTTCGGTTGTAAGTGCACTGGGACCAGTATCTGACCAATCACCACGTAAACGAAATCGTTTATATGGTGGTTGTGAACGTCTTGGACGATCATTAATTGTATCAGCTTCATTACCATTATTAATCGTATCACGTACTCCATATAAATTAAATAAATAAATATTATCATTTGCATATGATGCCAATAATTGTTGACAATTTCTGCTATATGTTAATGATGTGATACGATTAAAATCAGTAAGGCCATCATAAGTGAATTTAGCCACAATCGATGCATTCTGTTCGGCTAATGAAGGACCAACACCACGTAATGATTTTGTTGTCAACATTCGGCGATCATAAATACGTATAATTGAATCGGAACAACCAACAGCAAGTTGCCATGGTAATAAATGATTAATAGCAATGGCCGTAACAGGATAATCACAATTAACAAGAACATCTTCACGACATTTAGGATGATGACCCATACGATGTTTTTGACATGATTGTTTTACACGTAAATCATACCAACGTACAGTATTATCATGACAACATGTTAAAAATGTATGTGGATCATCAGGTACGGTAACAAGATCATAAACACTTTCATCTTGACAATCAAATATATTTTGATAAGTTGTTTCTGGACGATTTAAATCTGTATAAATAATAACACCATCACCTGAACAAGAAACAATTTTCACATCATCCGTATTTGGTAGATATTTTGCACTAAATATATTTGTCATATGACCAGTACGGATTTTTGTTTTGATTTCACCTGTAAATGCATCTGTAATGGATAAATGAAGATCATCCGAACCGGATAATATATAACGACCAGTACTATTCCAAGAGATAGTATTTACCTATTTATCATAATTATTATTTTAGAATTGAAAAAAAAATTCATTCCAAAAATAACACTTACACATCCATTATGAGCATTAAGACTATGTAAACAACGAAAACGTTGAAGTAAATATTTACTATCTAAATACAAGAACAAATAATTTGGATGAAAAAAAAAGAAATCAATTCGAATAAAATGATTTACATACTTTTAGCTGAATTATATAATGAAACTGGATTTGTACCATAATATGGTCGTTCATAAAGAATTTTGTAGAAAAAATCTTTATTTCGATCCATTTTTGTTTTTGTTTTGTTGGCTACGAACGAAGAAAACAAAAAATTTTCAATTTATGATAACGATGATTTGATTATGTAATTTAATTCTTGCACGTGATTTTGTTGTTGTTGTCGTCGTCGTAGCTGTTGTTGTTGTTATTGATTAAAAATTAGAAATTGAGCCAATCGATAATTGTATTGGTAATGATGAAATTTTTTTTCATTATTAATTTAATCAAATTTTTATCGAATTAAAAACCACTGAATTAGCCATAGGGTTAATAGGTCGAAATTTTAGAAGAAATCAATGGAATGTGATAATTTGTGTAATAGGAGAGAAGAAAAAAAGAAGAAGACAAAACAAATTAATTATTATTTAAAAAAAAAGTTAAATTCTAAATATTTTATTTCAATTACAAATGAATTCTAAACAGACAAACAAACAATAGCACAAACACAATACAGAATAACACAAATGAGAAGAATCCAGAATTATTATTATTCTTTCTATATGTGTGTTGTTATAACAAATACGCAAACAAACAAACAAAAAAATTAATATTATTTTACCATTATTTATTCTAGAGAATCTTGTCTTTTTATTTATAGCCAAACTTGCATCATTTTCATACGCGCACAATCATGAATGAAATTTCCAAGGAAAAAAATGGAAAAAATAATTCCTGATTCTCGTTACAAATAATAATAATAATGAGAAAATTCACACTGAACATTTAAGAACAGGGATGGCAAAACAAATATATAAGTTTTCATTTTTTTTCATCTTTGAAATTGAAATTGAAAGATAAATGAAACTTATTAAATGAGTTTGTTTGTGGTCCGAAACAAACAAATTCTAAAATTAAGAATCAGAAAGATGATGATGAAAATAAAAGGGATACATTTGGGAAAAAAGGTGTGTGTGTGTGTTTGGTATGTTTTTAATGGGAATTATGAAAAAAAACACAGAATTTAATCAATGATAATCAAAATTAAAGTGAATGATGAAATAACATACCTTTTTTTCTTGAATCAATTCGATTCTTCATTCATCAAAAACAAAACAAAAATTGATTTGATGAAAAGAATAAAAATATTCCTTTCAAGATATATTTTGTTGTTGTTGTTGTTGACGATATCGAAAAAGTCTGCAATCAGAATTTTTTTACTTTTACCTCAAAATGATGAGCGCATCCAGTTTGACCAGTCGTTGATCTTTGATTTTCGGTTGTTTTTTGTTTTTGGTTTCTACTTTTTTTTCGTCTTCGAATGAATATATTTCTTTCTCTCCCTCTCTCTTTCTATTACACTTTAATGGAAAATCTAGAAAATTTCTCGATTAGATTATCACTGTTAACGTTATTTTGGATACGTAAAACCAGAAAAAAACAAATCAAGAGCTAATGTTTTGGATGTTTTCAATGATAATGAAATTTATTTCCGTTGGCCATTAAAAGATGTCGCTATTTGTTATCGAATATTCATCAAATGCTGTTTGTTTGTTTGTTTTGCGCGTTGAGTTTGTTTTCATGGATCAAAAAATTTATTTTTCATTTTGAATCCATTTTAAAAGATTTATTATTCATATTAAGTAAGAAAAAAAATGGCCGATAATAATAGTGATGAACGTCGACGACAAAAAGAAATGATTAAAGCTCTTGAAACACCGGAACAAAAACGTCAACGACGTTTGGCCAAAAAAAATGAAAAAGAACGTCGCCGTAAACGTTTAATGGGATGGGATGAAGAATATATGGGCTATACAAATGATGATAATCCTTTTGGTGATTCAAATCTTCATGAAACATTTGTTTGGAAAAAGAAATATGAAAAAATGGGTATGAAACGTATCGATGAACAAGAGATTGATGCTGTAAACAAAGAAAAAATGATAAAAAATCGTCAAGAATTGGAAAAAGTAAAAAAACGTCGTCTAGAACGTGAACGTGAACGAGAATTACGAATGGAAGAATTATCTAAACAACAACGAGATAAAGAAGCCGAACAATTCAAAGAATGGTCAAAACAAGAAGATTATTTTCATCTTAAACAGGCTCGTTTACGGTCAAAACTTCGTATCAAAGAAGGTCGAGCTAAACCGATTGATATTCTTGCTCAATATATCAATGCATTTGGTGAAAATCAAACTGCTGAACAAAAAACCGAATTAGAAAGAATAGCTGATGAAGAAGCAAGTAGTGATTCAAGTCGTTTTCGTCTACAACAACAAAGACGTGATGAAGAGGAAGAAGATTTACAGGATAAGATAAAATATTTATCCACATATCTTTCTGAACCATATAATACCTTGAATGGATTACGAATTCGTGATATGGAAGATCTAGTTGAAGATATTAAAATCTATCTAGAATTAGATAGCGGTTCTAAAGTGAATGCTGAATATTGGAAAGATTTGCAAATTATTGTTGATGATGAATTGACAAAATTAAAATTAGCCAATATGGATCAACAGGAACGACGACGTGAAGGTATTAATCCTTCGGTATCGGCCGATATTGCTCGTATATTGAAAGGTAAATCACCGCAACAATTGAAAACATTGCAAACACAAATTGAGAAAAAAATTGCATCTCGTGAAGAAGGCATTGATATTGGATATTGGGAAACATTGTTATCACGGCTAAAAGCACAGATTTCACGTGCTCGTCTTCGTGAATTTCATGAAGAAAATCTTAAAAAACGAAAAACACTTATTACTCAACATCAAAAAGATATTAAAGATTTACAACCACTTTCATTGGATTCGATTGATACGATAGAAGATCAAGAAGATTTAATAATACCATCAACATCATCAACAGCCATGAATCGTGGTGAAAAAGATGAAATGGAATTCTTATCAAAAACTGAACTTCGTCAAAAATGTATTCAAGAATATGAATCCGGTGGCTATAGTCCTCGAAAATTGCCTATGATTGATGTCAATTCAGATGTTGTATTGATGTCTGCTGAAGATTTTGAACATGATCTTCAAGAACAACGTACAGAAACATTAAGAAAATTATCCGCATTTCCTATTCCATTAGTATCATTCGAACAAAAAGATGGTAAACAAAAATTGAATATTCCACCATCAAATTATGATCATAATAATCGAAAATTAACACAAGCCGAAGAATCATTTGTTCGTGAAGCTCGTAAAGGTATGGGTGATGATGAGGCAATATTTTCTGTTGAAGAAGAACTTATCGATGATAAAGAATTATCATCAAAAACAATCTCATCTTTGCCGAATACTATTTTGGCAACAAATCAGATATTAATGAAAGACAAATATAGCTGGGCAGAAAAATATCGTCCACGTAAACCACGTTATTTTAATCGTGTACATACTGGATTCGAATGGAATAAATATAATCAAACACATTATGATGTAGATAATCCACCACCAAAAGTTGTACAAGGTTATAAATTCAATATCTTTTATCCGGATCTGATTGATAAATCAACAACACCATCATATAAGATTACTACCTGTAAGGATAATCCAGAATTTGCCTATATTCGTTTTACAGCTGGACCACCATATGAAGATATTTGTTTTAAAATTGTTAATCGTGAATGGAATTATTCATATAAAAGTGGTTTTCGTTGTCAATTTCAGAATAATATTTTACAATTATGGTTTCATTTCAAACGATATCGTTATCGTCGATGAAATTTTTTTTTTTAATTTTGTATATTTTTTGCAATTTTATAAAATTAATATCAATTAAATTAAAAATCATCATATTTAAAATTAATGTCAAATGAATAATTCATCTTCCAATTGAATTCAGGCGTGTGTGAAAAGCAAAATAAAAGTTCTTTTTTTTAAATCAATCATCGTCTGATTTTAATAAAAAGGTACGATAACATTGACCAAATGTATCTATTGGATCGGCACGATCAATAGCATGTAAAAATATCTGTAATGTTGCAATGACAACATCTAATACGGCAAACGTTGATGATCTCTGAGCGTTTACATTAAAATTTGCAAAAAAATTCGAATCATTTGGACGATATGAATACGATAAGTTGAACCATTCTTCATTATCATCAATGTCATTGTTAGTATTTACTTTATCCAGATCATGTTCATCAAGTTCTTTACGGAATCGATTGCGAAAACATCGAAGCATATCGATTGATCCAGGTGTTTTACTTTGTACAAGTTGACTTAATTGTGGCCAACGTTTCGAATGGATCACTTTGTTTAATGTTGGCCAATGTGGATGACAGCTCAACGTCTGATTATCTCGGGATAGATGAACAGTTGAAGTTGGCATAAAAAAATAATTTGTCAATAATTGTTGGATGATGTGAAGAAAAAATTTCATCATATATTGCCACATTCGATCGATATCATCGGATGTTAACAATGGTTTTTGTCGCTGTCGCAATTCAAATATGTCATTATGTTCATCTAGAACCAATTCATATCGATAAAGATTACAAGATGGAAATAAATCCGGATTCATGTCAAATGTCAATGGTTTTTCAAGTAATACGTCCATACAATTTCTTTCATTAATACGATCGGCAACTTTTTTAAGACATACAAAAAAACGATGTACATTTCTTGTTCGAAAATTATAGGCAACATTATGATCCAAAACAAATGGATCTTCAATGCAAAAGAATGATGTCATATTAAATGTAAAATAATGATCTCGTTCCTTTTCTTCGGCCAATTTGAATTTATTAATGTATACACCATGACGTGGTCGTATGGCGTTGAGGAAAAAATTGAAATCATTATAAAATCTTCAAGAATCGGCAAAAAAAACAAAGAATTAAAAACAAAAAATTATAAAATATTGTGAAACTTACCTGAAAAATTCGACAAACAATGATGTGGTCGAACTACGATTACGGCTTTTTTCAATCGATTCAATATCATCACAGAAATCAAAATCCCAATTATGTATAAACTGTTGGTTGGACTTTTTTGTTTTTTTCGCCAAACGATTCAAATCAATAACAGTGGGCAGAATTGGTGGTTTTTGTTGCTGCAAAAAGAATACAATTAACATTGTAAATGCATAGGTTGAAAACATATTTTGCGAAATGAGTTCATTAGTTTTAGCCCAATATTTTAAAGCCATTGTTAACTCATAGAATCGTCGATCATAACGGGTAAAAAAATTCAATAAACGGCTATTATGAACACCGTACATTGAAACTAAACTTATATCACATTTAGTGAATTCCGTTTTTGCTTGCTGTTGTATCGGTATTTTTGATTGTAAATGTCGTAAACATTGACGAAAATTCAGTTTAATAATTGGACAACGGCGACTATGTATGATTGTTGAATGATCACTACGTAATTGCAAACCAAATTCAATTTTCATTAGTTTTTCAATAACTTCTAATGCCATCATTGATGTATAAAAATCTAATTTATCTACATGAATATTTTCAAATTGTATGAATAAATCGAAATCAGAATTTGATGTACCAAGACCATTGGAGATTGATCCAAATGTATGTACATGTGGTTGAAATTGTTCAAAATGTGCATATAACATTCGTTCAAACATTTTTACAAATGTCATCAGATGACCACGAGATTTTTCCGATAATGAATATGTTGAATCAAATTCATTAAATTTTTCTCGAAATGTTTTCAATGTGATCACTTTAGTATAAAGCATTCTGTAAATATTGATCAAAAAGATTGATTTTAAAAAAAAGTAAAAATATTAATTTCATGTATTACCTTTGATCAAATCTTTCATAAGTAACCGATCGATAATCGATCATATATTTAAGTTTTACTGATCGATTATTTCGACGTTGTAATTTAAGATCTAATAAATGTCTACGAAATTCAATAATATCTTTTGGATGTAATCGTTCATAACGTGCTATTAGATTATGAAGATGTTCCAATTCTTCGGATTTAAACCAATTTGTATATTCAAGAAAATCTACAAATCTTTGTCCATATGAACAAAAATCTGTATATGAATATTGTCGTCCATCCAATAATTCTGTGAATGATAAATCATCACTATCAGAATCATCGAACATATTTAAACGTAATTCAAGATGTTCAAAATAGATCCATATTATTGAATAAAGATATGTACATGTACGTTGTGCATATAATGCAATAATATGTTCAATACGATATTCTGTTTCAAGAAGATCATGAGCAAATTTTGCCAAAATATTCTCTAAATGTTTATCATCTAAACGATTTATTTTCAAACGTTTCAATTCTTCATGTTGTTGTTGATGATGATGATGTTTTTCATTGTTTGTTTTACATTTAGATCGTTCATCCAAATTATTTTTCATTAATTTATTTCGTCGATTTTTATTTTCATTATCATCATTCAGTTGACGACCACCAGTATCACCACCAAATGTATTTGTATCATTATAATATTTATGATGATGATGATGATTTTTGTTCGATGGTGTTGGCAACAATACTGGATTTGTTAATTGTTGTTTATTATTTTGATTTAAATAATCATTAGGTGTAGCCATTTTAAACAAATCGTTTACATCTATTTTGGTACGATTTTGTTTAACACCAATTTTTTTCAAAAATCGATTTTGATCCAAACATTTATTATTCGATTCATTTGTTGTTGATCGAATAGCTTGCTGTTGTTGTTGTTGTTGTTGTGGTAGTTGTTGCGGGTGCTGTATTGGATCATTTAGATTATTATAATTATTATTAATTGAATAATTCGAAAATTGTTGCGATTCATGATTCGATTTATTCATTATTAATGGTGGATAATCGCTGTAATAGTTTTCATTATATTGATTAAAAGTTGGTACGAATGTAGATTGTTGAAATGATAATGATGATGATGATTGTGTTGGTGGTGGTGATGGCATAATCCATTGATTTATAGGCGTTGCACTGCCGAAAAATGTCGGCGGCGGAGGTGGTGGTGGAAATCCTGCATGCATATAAATGTTCGATTGATTTGGTAAATTATTTGCCGGTTGATAATGTTGATAAAATGGAACAAAATTTGTTGACCATTGAAAGGGATTTTGATTCGGATCATGAATTTGTGGTTGCGTCATATTTGATGTTGTTGTTGATGATTGGGGCGTTATTATTATCGACGATGTTGGTGGAATGTTTGTCGATGACGATGATGTTATCGTTTGATCGGAATCAATATTAAGCATCTGAAATAATTGTTCAGGCTTCATATTGCCGATCGTTATTAAGAAGAAAAAAGAATCCGAATGAACCAAACAGAAAAATGTTATGACCGATCAGCGAAAGAAAAAGAAATCGAGTAAGCAAAAAAAACAAAAATTACAAAACTCAATCAACTTGTTGCTATGATGATGATGATAATGATGCAATAGTATGATTATGAACAATCATCAATCTGTTATTATAATCAATATTTAAAAAAAACAAATATTGATTAGCAACAATAGCATAGTAATGGAAAACAAATTAGCCCAAAAATGACAATATGTTAAAATTCTAAAAGAATTTTTCGTTTTTTTTTCTGATGAAAAATTTCAATGTCGTTACAACGAATGATAAAATGGTTATCGAAAGAATTAAAAATTGTAAATTAAAATTACAATACTAAAAAAATGAGCAAAATTCTAAAAAAAAAATAAAAGAAAAGAAATAAAATTCACCGAATCGAACCTGTTTTTTTTTCGGTATTATTATTATTATTTACCATATGGATCTATTCATATAGGATGTTTTAGAATTCTTCGAATGAATATTCGAAGATTCGAATTTCAAAAAGAAAATGAATTTTTTTTTTTTTGCTGTATTTTTTCAATTTGTAAATGAACAGTTTGTTTTATTCATCAGAAAAAATTTCTTGTTTAGAAAAAAAATTTAAAATTCATTATCATTCATCATTTTTCATTGAAGATGATGATAATAATTGATTGATTTAATTAAAAAAAATCATTTATTAGCTGAAAAACTAATGTTGAATATATTGTTGATTTGTGGAATTTGACCATTTACTGGTACAATTTTTTCAATATTTCCACCCACGCCACCACCACCACCACCACCATTATGATTATTGTTCTGATTATTCTGATTGTTCTGATTGTTCTGGTTGTTCTGGTTGTTATGATCGTCTTTTGGATTAAAAATATTTTGCACCCAATCGATTCCTTTATTAATCCAATCCCATAAACCTTGTGCTTCAGGTGAAAAAAATTCTTCCGGTATTGTTACATTACCAACTTTAATGTAATGATGTCCATCATGTTCATCAATAAATGATGATTGTTGATAATTTTTTTTATCTGTTAATTTTTCTGATTGATTTATTTTCGAATCATTTTGTATCAAAATTGGAACATGATATTCAGGAATTTTATTTGTACGATTTTCATTATGATTTTCAATTTCATATTTTACCGTACTACTATTATTGTTTTGAAAAGACATATCCGGCTGTATAGCATTTGTTTTGATCGAATCAATAACATGTTTACCATGAACAATAATTGATGATGCTAATCAAATTAAAATTTTTGTAAATAAATTTGATTAAGTTTTTAAAAAAAAAATATTTACCGTTATTTATCTTCAAAAGATTACGACCATTAACAATGGCAAAAAATGCCATCACTTCGATGATAATAATAATAATAATAATAGTTTATTCAAAGTTGACCTCTAGAACTAGTATTATACACTAGAGGTAATATCTTTTCAGGTAAATACAAAAAATTAATAAAAGAAATTAAATATAAAAGAAGAGAAGAGAAAAAAAAACAAAAAAAAAAGAAAAAAAAATGACAATAATAATAATTACAAGAATCATATCAAAATAAAGGAGAAAAGAAAAAAAGAAAATAATAATAATAATAATAATAATTACAAGAATCATCAATAAAAGAAGAGAGAAAGAAAAAAGGAAAAAAAAATAAAAATAAAAAATAATAATAATAATAATAATAATAATAATAAAAGAAAAAAAAATAATACTAATACAAGATTCTTATCAAAATAAAAGAGAGAAAAAAAAAATAAAAATAAAAATAAAAATAAAAATACAATAATGATAATCTGAAACAAAAACCAAGGCATGCTATAATATTTTAATCATAATAATGAAGAGGTGAATAGCTCAAAAGTCCATTGTAAACATTGTCCATACACACAATTATTATTCAAGCTAAATATTTTAAATGGAATTTGTCGTTTTCATTATTATGATTTATTTAAATTCTAAATTTTCAATCTAAAAACTAATTTCAAATGAAATTATTGATCAAACGGAAGAAAATTTCTTAAGAAATGTATTACGTATTATATGAGAAGTTTTTTTTTGTTGTTGTCAAAAGACAACTCACTTTGATCGAATTGTGCAAAAATAGTTACATCATCAAAAACAACTTTTTATTTTATTTATTTATCTTCAATTGGCCAAGCCTACATCCTATATAAGATATTGAAAAAAACGTTGGAATCCATTTTAATCGATGTAAGGGGTGATTACGATGTCGATATTGATAACAACGAAATTTTCGACGAGNTTTGATTTTTGCGATTTTTAGTCCATGTGATGTTGGTATTAGTTCGTAGTCGATAGAAGCATTTTCCGTAGCTTTCTTAGCTAGCGAATCTGCCAGTTCATTGCCCAAGATGCCGACATGGGCTTTAACCCACGTGATACATATATGAGCCGTGGAGTTCTGAATACTTTTTTGTATTTTTAATGCAAGACTGTCATTGGTGTTTCTGCTGCAGACGGCATTAATGGCAGCTTGTGAATCACAGTGTATTTTAGCATCAAGATCTTGCTCGATGCACCAATGTGTTGCCGATAGTATTGCCAGTAATTCGGCCTGGAAAACAGTGCATTCGTTGGCTAGGCGTTTTTTCCCAGTATGAATGATTGCACTTTCTCTCATAGCCACGAAAGCACTGCCAACCTGGTTTGCTATTTTCGAGCCGTCTGTGAAGATGTCAATAGTATGGGATTTTTGACAGTTTTCGATGGATATGTTGGTGTTATTGGCAGGATGTGGTCTGAAGGAGAAAGGTGCTCTTATCTGGAATGATGCTATGGGGAAATTTCCAATGCTTGGAGTCCCTTTCTTAAGAAAATATCTATTGGAACAATAGAGAATCTTTAAGTCAATCGGTTCTATGTTAGCGAGAACAGTTGCTGCGTCTGTAGAGATTGTTCTATAGCCTTTTATTATTGATATAGCAAATGATCTTTGTATCGATAGAAGTTTAGCTCGTTTTGTTTTATATTCGAGGACATCTTGCCAAGAAGAACAGGCGTAGGTAAATCACTTCGATGATAAAAAATAAACGAATAATATTCATTTTGATTTTTTTTTTTGTTCTGTTTTTTCTTGTTTCAAAATCGTGAAAATTGTTGAACAAATTAACTTTCAATTATCATTGTTTTATATATCAGGCCAACAACAAAAAAAATGTTGTATAACCCTTCGCCATCCATTTAATCCATCCAGTATTATCATTTCAATTTTGTTGTTGACAGTTGTTGTTGTTGTCGTTGTTTAATCCAAAATAATAAAATTTTGTTAATATTCTAATAATAACCATTTTTTCCCTGGAAATTTATGCAATTCGAATTATAAACAATACAATATGAAAATGGATTTAATGAAAAAAAATTTTCAATTCATTAATCGGATAAATGCTATTGTTACTAATGATAATGAATCAACCGAAACAGGAAAAAAATTGTAATATTGAAATTCCGATTACTAATAACAACAACAACAATAATAAAAATATAGGATGTTTTCTAATTTGTCGAAGATTCGAAGATTCGAATTTCATGAAGAAAATGAATTTTGTTTTTGTTGTAAAAGAACATTTGGTTTGATTATTCGGCGACAGTCAATCACTTGACTAGGAGAATGATGTGCATACTTAAACTATTGAATAATATTGGAACAGGAACCATTAATGTCCAGAAAAAGAAGAAAGGAAGGAACATAAAAAAACTTTTGGAATCATTCATCGGAAAAAAATTCATTTTAATTTTAATTTTTCATTGAATCATAATAATAATTGATTGATTTTTCGAAAATTATTTTGCTGTCAATTGAATGTTGATAACATTGTTGATTCCTGAACTATGTCCATTTCCATCACCATCACCATTATTAGGGTTGTCGTTACTGTTATTGTCGTTACTGTTATTGTCGTCGTTATTATTGTTATTATTGCTATTGTTATTGTTTTTGTTGTTGTCAGGAGTGAAAATTTTCTTAATCGCATTCCATCCTTTTTTGATCCAATCGAAAAAACCTTGTGCTTCAGGTGAGAAAAATTCTTTCGGTATTGAAAAATTTCCAACTTTGACGTAATGTTCATCATCACCAAATGATTGCCGAACATTTTTATCTGTTGATTTTTCTGTTCGATTCATTGAATTAATTGGCATCAAAATAGGAACATGATATTCAGGCTCTTTATTCAATAGATTTTCCGTAGAGATTTCATTTTTATATGACACATTTGCTTCTATCGAATGCATACCATTGTTGTGAACAATCGATGAGTCTAGTATTAGATATCGAATGAAAATTTGTATATAAATGATCATTATAAAATATATAAAATATTTACTGTTTGTCTTCAAAAGATTACGAGCATCGACAATGGTGAAAAATGCTATCACGTTGATCGCGATAAAAAATGAAACAATAATTTTCATTTTGATCTAAGACAAATTTCGTCTAAGACAAAAGTTTATTCTTGCTACTAGATTTGTCAATATGGCTGATTGAATATATTTTAGGCTAATAATCATCATACTTATATATTGATATCAAGCAAAAGAACGCTATCATCATAATCTTTATAATCCAATTAAAAAAGATTGTCATTTCTAATTAATTCCTTGGAAATTTGTGAAATCAATAAAAAACAATAAAATCATGAAATTGATTTAATTTTAATGAAAATAGATGATAACGTGTTACATATGAACCAAACAATATTCCGATATCACATACACTAATAATCTTTATAATCCAATCAAAAAATGATTGTCATTTCTAATTAATTCCTTGGAAATTTGTGAAATTCATGTAAATCAATAAAAAAGTCAATAATCAATAATCAATAATCATGATTCTTATTTATGATGATAATAACCATTTTCCACCTTATGGATTTATGAAAATAACAATTTTTTTAAACTTGACATTGATCCGATTAAATAATTGTGTTGTAATAATGTAATTTCTCTGCAAATTTCACGGCCTAACATAATTTCTTTACTGACCTTTCTATGATTTCATTTCGTGTTTATATATATTGACAAAAGAATATGATTTAAAACAGGTTGTTCATGAATCACAGTATCATTTATTATTATTTTTTAAACATTTTCATAATCATTGATTCAAATAATTGATAAGTATTATCAATTAATAATTTATTATTATTATTATTATAATCATGATATGATAATTAACATCATCATGATAATAATAATGTATTAATCATTAATTATTTTTTTTTTATTACTTTTATATCGATTGTGTTATTGATTTGGCCAAAATTTCCTTTGGTAATTTTTATATACTTTTGAATATTGAATCGTTTCGATGTTGTTGTCGGCTTTTCCGTTGTTGTTGTCGGTTTTTTCATTGTTGTTGTTGTCGTTGTCGGCTTTTGCGTTGTTGTTGTTGTTGTTGTTACAACTTTTTTATCTTTACCGGTTAGTCGATTCCATGTTTTTTTGATCCAACCCCAAAACCCTTTTGATTTGGGTGAAAGAAATTCTTCAGGTATAGTTAGATTACCGATTCCAATATAATCATATTCATCTTCAAATGTTTCATTTGATGAATGATTATAATGATTTGTAAACAATTTTCGATTAGAATCATTGATCAATATCGATGGTTTTTGATATTCCGATTTCAGAAGGTTCGATTTTGTTACTGTTTTCATCATGTCATCTATGATTGACATATTCGAAATAACTTTCTTTTCGATCGATTTTTCATCATGATTTTGGCTGACATTCGATGATACTATTATATTATATTTTTATCAACATAAAAATTTCCATTAAAATATCAATCAAATTTTTCAATCAGCCTTACCCGATAAAGCATAACAATCGATATTCGAATCAATGTTCAATGTAATGATCATTACAATGAACAATGCAACAATTTTCATTTTTAATGTTGTATGTTTCTTGTTGTTTTAATGACGATCAAAACAAGAAGAAAATTTAATTTCAATCCAATATATATTTATAAATTCCATTATCATAACAAAAAATTTCATAATAGGTACAAAGATTTTGATAATCGTTAAGAAACAGTTTAATTAGTCAATGATAATATTTTTTGAAACAATTGGGAAGGATAAAGTTATTATTACAACACAATTATTTAATCGGATCAATGTCAAGTTTAAAAAAATTGTTATTTTCATAAATCCATAAGGTGGAAAATGGTTATTATCATCATAAATAAGAATCATGATTATTGATTATTGATTATTGACTTTTTTATTGATTTACATGAATTTCACAAATTTCCAAGGAATTAATTAGAAATGACAATCATTTTTTGATTGGATTATAAAGATTATTAGTGTATGTGATATCGGAATATTGTTTGGTTCATATGTAACACGTTATCATCTATTTTCATTAAAATTAAATCAATTTCATGATTTTATTGTTTTTTATTGATTTCACAAATTTCCAAGGAATTAATTAGAAATGACAATCTTTTTTAATTGGATTATAAAGATTATGATGATAGCGTTCTTTTGCTTGATATCAATATATAAGTATGATGATTATTAGCCTAAAATATATTCAATCAGCCATATTGACAAATCTAGTAGCAAGAATAAACTTTTGTCTTAGACGAAATTTGTCTTAGATCAAAATGAAAATTATTGTTTCATTTTTTATCGCGATCAACGTGATAGCATTTTTCACCATTGTCGATGCTCGTAATCTTTTGAAGACAAACAGTAAATATTTTATATATTTTATAATGATCATTTATATACAAATTTTCATTCGATATCTAATACTAGACTCATCGATTGTTCACAACAATGGTATGCCTGAACATCATGTTCCTATTTCGGTACAAACCAATTCAATGAATCAAACAGAAAAATCAACAAGTAAAAATGATCGGCAATCATTGGGTGATGAGGAACATTACGTCAAAGTTGGTAATTTTTCAATACCGAAAGAATTTTTCTCACCTGAAGCACAAGGTTTTATGGATCTTATCCTAAAAGGATTTGGTATTCTTAATAAATTTCTTGATCCAGACGAAAATAAGGGAAGTGGTGGAAATAATCAAAGTCCAGTAATCACCAATATTATCAACATTAGTTTATCAACGAATGATTTTCCAAAAAAAATTAATCAATTATCATAATTTTGATGAAAATTGAAAATCAAAATGAATTTCAAATAAAAGAATAAACTTTAATTTCTACCAAACATCTGATTGAATTTTGCCTATTAATTTATCATTATCAATTCATGCCGAAATACTAAAGCCATAAACATTTCTAAAAGATTTATCATTTTCGATTAACTGTATTTCCTGTATTAATTGTATGCATTAGCGCGTTTTATCCATATATAGATCATAGAATTATTTCATTTTTTTCTATCTTCATCATCTAAATAATTTAATTAATTAATTCGATAATAATAATCATGTTTCGGTTGGTTTTTCCTTTGAAAATTTGTGCAATTCGAATTATTAATCAATAATAAACAATACAATATAAAAATGGATTTAATGAAAAAAAATTTTCAATTTATTAATCGGATAAATGCGATTATTGACTAATGATTATGATGAATCAACCGAAACAGGAAAAAAGTTGTAATATTGAAATTCCGATTACTAATAACAACAACAACAATAATCGCATAGATGAAAATAGCCGACAAGATAATAATTGTTGTATATGTTTTGGTAATATAATCAATATGGCCATTATAAATGATTGTCAACATTCATTTTGTTGGGATTGTATTAATGAATGGATACGTATGAATCATAAAAAATGTCCATTATGTCGTCGTTGGATACAATTTATACAATATAATATACGTTCAACAAATGATTATGATTTAAAACAGGTTGTACATGAATTACAGGATCATTTATTATTTTTTCGTAATCATCAAAATCATCATTGATTAAGTTATTAATCTTTTTTATTTTTTTGTTTGTTAATAAATAAATTTTTATTTGAAATTTTTATAAATGAATCGAGAAAAACAAAACAAATCAAATTCAAAAACAAAAACATTCATTCATTCATTGAATGATTTATGTGGTATTAAATCACAATAATCGATTGGTACACATCTACCATTACCACCATTTGCATCATAACCAAGACGAATAAAACCGGTACGACAAAAACAACCAGCTACACACATTTTAACACATGAACGATCTAAAATATTATGATTCAAACATGTATCCGGACATTTTGTACCACATTCTTTCCATTCTTCATTATCATTACATTTTTCTAAATAGAGAGAAATGAAAAAAAATGAACAAATTTAACGATAATTTAATTCGTTCCAAAAACTTACGATCAGAATCGGCCATTGTAATGGCAACAAATAAGGTAAAAATCAAGATGGCTACGATTTTCATATTCATTTTTTTTCGATGTTTTCGTTGTTGTTGTGAGAAACATTAAACAAGTAATACAGATTGAAATCCTGATTGAAATTTACCTTATTTTATATATATTTGATTTAAAATCAAATTGATAGGAGACAGACAAGTGTTTTGTTATTTAATTAACACTTACCACCCATATCGAATAATATTTACCAAAAAATAAAAAAAATTGAGTTCATCAAATAGATGTTACCAAGGTATTTTTTTTAATTTAATCACATCTCTTGATTGTTCTATTTTTTCCCAATAAAGATTTACCTACAAGTGCTTTTTTTTATTGGTTGATTGTCGACCAAAATATTCATATTAGGAACAAGGAATTATTATTGAGAGGAAAATTAATCGATGTCAATAACAACAACGACAAAAACAATTTATTAATCAATCAATAAGTAATTATAGATAATTAACAGAAAAACAATTATAAAAAGATGAAGTTTCACATCAAGATTATTTAATCATATCAATGTCAAGTTTTCATCAATCCATGGGGTATAAAAGAAAAATTCTAATTTTTTTTTTCTTCGATTACAATTGCAATCGATTTTTGTTTTTTCTCATTGAGTATAACTTAATGGATTAATATGATAAATATCACTGCTGTTGGTATCCGATGTTGTTGTTGTTGTTGTTGATTGTTTCACATAGGAAAATCCTTTCCAACCTTTAGCTACTTTTAATTGATGTATTTTGATTAAATGTCTTGATAGATTATTACCACGATTATATTGTTTTGTACAAAGATGACAAGCGAATATAATTTGTTCATTTAAATGTTTCATACGATAATGACGATTCAAAACAAAAAAACTAGTAAATTTTTGTCCACAATTTTGACATTGATTTTTTTTCTCTTTTTTATGTGATTCAATATGTCGTTGTAAAAAACGGCGAGTTTTAAATGGTTGTTGACAGAATTGACATTGAAAATCATATGTATTACTATGACGAAATAATATATGTTCTTTAAGATGTGAACGATAAACAGCCGAATATGAACAATATGGACAGGAATGTTTTTTTGTATGTTTATTTTCATGTTCACGTAATAATGATGCTGTATGAAAAGATTTCGTACAATAATTACATTGAAATTCTCGTTCAGAATTTTTTATCGATTCATTCGATATTTGATTTGTTGATGATGTTGATTCAAATTGTAATTGTATAACATTATTCGATTGATTGGTTGTAATTATTTTATCATCATCATTATTGTTATCGGATTGATGATTAATCTGTTGTTGTTGTTGTTGATTATTATTATTATTGTTAGCAAAATTCACCAATAAAATTGATTCATTCGTTTTATCGTTATTATCAATTAATGATGATGTTGTTGTTGATCCATTTGTAGTTGTTGATGTAGTTTTTAGATTAATATTATGTGGTAATCGTATAACAATTGATGATTGATGATTAACATCTTCATCAATAGTAAGAATACGTTCATCATCATCTTCCATACAATCAACATTGACAAATTTATCACCATTATTATTACATATTATTGATGATGATGATGATGATGATGATGGTTGATTTGTAAATCCTGTTGGTGTTTCCTGTCGATAACAATGATTAATAAAAGCAATACGTGTAGCAAACACTTCACCACAAATTGGACATGCAGCCGATTTTCGTTGTGTATGTGAATTTAAATGCATTTTTAGATGAGATTTTTTTTTGAATGATGCCTGACAATTTAACCATTGACAACGAGCAAAACGTACTTTTTTTAATTTTTCCTTTGAAATCATTGGTATTGTTACATCTTCAATAGCATGATATTCAACATGTTGAAAAAATGTTTCAGCATCAATAAATTCGGCATTACAATCATGCCAACCACAAATAAATTGTTGATATGTTTCAATAATAACATTACGTGATGGATTTTTTATATAACATATTAATCGTGGTATAGTAATATTCATTATCTGTTGACCAACATTCATCAATTGATTATGAAAACCATGTAAACTAAGATGTAATTGAAAATGACCAATATTAATATATTCATTATCTTCATAACAACCTTGCCATTTACATTTTTGTTTATCATCAATATTTGACCAATATGTTGGTACATGTATTTGATTAATATGTTGTAGATAAAGTGATCGATCATGAAATTTTTGATTACAATCAATCCATTCACATGTCATTTCAATATTTTTTCTTATATATTTTGGTATATTATAACGTAATTCTTTTTCCATTTCTTTTTGTGTTGTTCGCGAAATTGTCAGTGTATAATGATTACGGAATAATATTTTATCACTTTTTTGTAAGGCTTTTTGAACATCATCTTCACTTTCAACATAAACATAGGCATTCATTTTTATTTGTTCATTTGAAACATTGGATGGAATTATTCGTACACCACCATTACGAATAATTTGTATATCAATTGTGGACAAAAATGAACGTATCTCATCAATGTTTATATCATTTGGTAGATTACCAATGACAATCATTGATTTAGTAGAATTTATAGACATTATTAGAAAAATATTGAATAGAAAAGAATAGAAATAAAAGATACAATTTTAAAACAAGAACAAACTCTATCGAATGAAACGAAAAAAAAAATGAAAATAAATAAAAGAATCGATTGTATCGATTATAGTCGACATTCTTTTCGATTAATTTTTTTTTTAACGGCGGCGTTCTTTCGCTCTTTTCCTTATTTTACGTATTGAAATGTTGAATGTGTTTTTGGCTCATTGTTTGGCTCACTCGATTTCCATTTGTTGTTTTTTTTTTCGCTTTACGATTTATTTTCCAATCCCAAAAAAATAACCATCATTGAATCTAATTAATCTATTCTTCAAAGTTTTTGGAACTTGAAAAAGACTTTCACTTTATTATAATCAACAACAAATATATACGGATAAAGGGGGAATTGTTTCGATCGGGTAATGTTTCATTTAGATAATCATTTTCAAAATAACGGAATTAATATACAGAACGATTGGACCAAGAAAAAGGATACAGGATTTTGAAAAATAATAAATTAATAAAAAGAATTTCGAACAACTTTTTTCTCAGCCAATCAATCAACGTTTTGTTTTTGTGTTTTTTTCTTCAATTTCGTGATGAAATTTATAAATGTTTTCTTTTTTTTCAAAATCATTTTCGGAACATTAATTTTTGATTGACATCTGTATCATCACCGGGTACTATAATTAAACATTGGCAAGAAGATTTTTTTTCAATTTTTTTTCTATCGAATCAAAATACGATCATCGGAAAATATATAGTTTTAAAATCGAACATTTTTATACATTTCGACAACAACAGAAACAAAGAAAAAAAATTCCCTTAATTGATTCCCAAATAAGGCAAATATTGTAATAATTTTTTGTTTTGGTTTGTTGGAAAATATCAGCCAAAATCAGAATATATAAACAGGAGAGAAGGTAACATTCGAAACGATTTCGTACGGTTTTGGATTCTTTGATTTTCCCATAATTATTGGCAAAACGAATTTTTTTTTTTTTGAAAATAACAAGGATTTCAAAAACACAATGATGTTTTGATGAGAAAAAAAAACTTTGGATCTTCAAATTCAGTCAATCAAATCAATCAGTTTTTGTGTGTTGTGTGTCAATCTTAATTTAACAAACGCCAAATCTAACAAACCATTGAAAAAAACAATAATAATTTTTCCAAATTTGTAAAAAAAAATAATTTTAATCATACATTCAGACACATTAGGGATACATTTTTTTGATTTTATTTTTATTTATTTATTTATTTTTTTTTTTGTTTTGTTGAAAAGAAATATCATTTTTGAATCATTGAAATTTTTTTTTGCAGGAAAACGAAGAGTTTCTGTTTCTTTTTTCGGTTTATTTACGAGGAAGGGAGAACATAAAACAAAAAAAAAAGACAAAAAATGTCGATTATAATACGATTACAGAATCTACCATTGGAAGCAAATTCATTGGATATACGAAGATTTTTTCAAGGTTTACAAATACCGGATGGTGGTGTACATATTGTTGGTGGTGAAAATGGTGATGCATTTATTGCATTTGCAAATGATGAAGATGCTAGACAAGCAATGGAACGTAATGGAAATTTAATAAAAGGTTCAAGAATAAAATTATTATTAAGTTCAAGAAATGAAATGCAACGTGTTATTGATGCTGCACGTAATCAAACAATATCGATATTACCATCATCAACAAAAACGACAATAAATCCAAATGCTGCTGCTGCTGCTGCTTCTGTTGTTCCAACAAATATACCGGTACAACAATCTTCACCACAAAAATTACCACCACCATCATCATCATCATCAATACAGCCACAACAATATCCAACACATCCGATTGGTAATTATCCCACTACACAATATCCGCCAACAGTACAAATTCAACCATCATTAGCATCATCAACAAATCCAGTTGCTACAAGTGGATATTATCCTGGTAGTGTTGGTCCATCACAAACAGTTAGATATCCGCCACCACCACCTCAATCATCATCACAAACGCAGCCACAATCGCAACCAACACCAAATGATTATCAACGTAGTGGTCCTAACGTTGCTTATGGTCATCGACAAAATGATCGTCAAGAATTACAATATCGTGGACGTAGCCGTAGCCGTAGCCGTAGTCCACCAACAAATCGTACTGGTTCGGATATTCATCCATCAATGAATCAACGTTATTCAGATATGAATAAAAATACAATGCAAACTGGATTGATACGATCATTACAACCATCAGTGTCATCATCAACATCACAGATATCACCATCATCATCAACACAAATACATTCATCGAATTTTGTTCCACAAACAAGTGGAAATAATATGGATATACGTTATACAAATTATCCACAGCCATCACAACAACAACAGCAAGAATCAAGAGAATATCAATCACAACAATCATTTGGTGGATCACAATATCGACCGATGCCAGGTGCATCAAATGTTAATAACAATACAATGATGGATGGTAGTTTAGGTGGTGGTAATATTGGTGGTGATCGAGGAATTGTAGGAGGAACAGGAATAGGACAACAAGGAATAACAATACAAGGAGGAGGAGTTGTAGGTGGAGGATGGAATAATAATAATAATAATAATGATAATAATAATTATCGTCAAACATCTGTCATATCGAATGATTTTAATAACCGAAAAATGGATTCGATTCATCAACTACCGCAACAACAACAACCACAACCTTTATCATCTGCATATGGTCAGCCATCAACAATGCCGATGATGCCACACCAATCTCAGCAGCAGCAACAACAACAATTGATTCGGCCACCATTATCACAGCAACAACAACAACAACCACCACCACAACAAATGTTTACATTACAATTGAATGATCTACCATTCAATGTAAAATCATTAGATTTGATAAAATTTTTTCAACCATTATATCTTGATGAAGATAATATCAAAATATTTTATGATTCAAAAGGATTTCCAACTGGTATTGCATTGGTACGTTTTGGTTCACCAAAAGAATGGGAACAAGCATTAACATTTAATAATCGTTATATGGGTGATCGACGTATACAAGTACAACCATTAGATGATTTAGGTAATAATAATAATAATAATAATAGTAATATTGGTCAAAATTCATCAACAATCATCAATAATAATAATAATGGTCCATTGCTTCAACAACCACCACCACCACCATTAATAGCAAATCCTCCGCCATCAAATACATCAGCATCAACGACAATTGGACAACAACGTAAAAATACATTACCTCCACCACAATCAGATCCATATCGATCATCATTAGATAATTATCCAACATATAGAAATTCACCGGAAGAAATTGGCTCATTTGGTCGTGGTCCACCACCACCCATATCATCATCATCATCATTACAACAATCTTCATCACAATTTAATGGTGGTATGGGTCCACCACCACCATCATCATCGTCATCACAATCATCATCATCATCATCTCATCATCATAATAGTTCAAATCATCATCATCATCATCATCATCGTGGTAAATATCAACCACGTTGTAAGGATAATGCTTTATTTATGAAAGGATTACCATTCGCAAATTGTACAACAAAAGATGTTGCACATTTCTTTGATCCGATCAAATTATTTCATATTGAAATTGAATTTGATAGCCGTAATAAACCAACTGGTAATGCTTATGTTGAATTTCATGATCGTCAAGATGTTGATCTTGCAATGAATTATAATATGAGAAATATGGGACATCGATATATTGAATTAATACCATGGATATTATATGAAAAATTTGGACCAACTTATCATCTGCCAAGTGCACCACCACCGCCAAAATTTATGCGTGGTAATAATAGTGGTGGTAGTCGAGGAGGTGGACCACCACCACCACCACCGCCGTCATATGGCGGAAGTGGTGGTGGCAATCATCATCATCATCAAGGTCCATTTACACATTGTGTATTGGTTCGTGGTCTTGGAAAACATGTTAGCACACCGGATTTGAAACAATTTTTTGCTAAATCTAATATCGATACTTATGCTGTACATATAATGTTAACAACAGATAAAATGAATGCTGGTGAAGCATTTGTTGAATTTTTAACTAAAGAAGATCAAAATCGTGCATTAGATATGAGTGGTGCACGTTTAGCTGGTGAACGTGTTAATATTCGTCCGGTAGCATATGAAGTTGTTCGAGCAAGTGTTCCACCACCAAGAGGACCACCATCAGCATCAGGAATGCCATCATTACCACCAAATAAATCACATGGAGGAAAATATCGTCGTGGTGGACCAGCAGGTCCAAGAGGAGGAAATAATAATAATAATGGTCAATCGGCACCGATTTTCGATAAATCATCAATATTAATAATGAAAAATATTTCATTTAAAACAAATATAGATGATTTATGTAGATTTTTTGATGATTATCATATAACACCGAATCGAATAAAAATTCGTCCATCAACATCAAATGATTCATCATCATCATCATCATTGAATGATCCTAACAATTTGGATGGACAAGAAGCACAAATTCAATTTCATTCACGTTTAGATGCTGAACATGCTGTTCGTACATTGGATAAACAATATTTCCATGATCGTAAAATTTATCTAACATTTTTATAAAAGAGAGAGAAAGAATAGAAATGAAACAAATTAATTTTCTTTTTTTCCTTTTTTTTCTATTAATTATTTAAATATATCTGTATTTCTTTTTCATCATTATCATCCAATTTTATTTGATTTTGGAAATTTACAAACAACATTGAACAACAACAAAAAATCTAAAAATTTTGTCAATTTTTTTAAAATTATGATGTTTTTTTTACTTTTTTCCCTCTCTATCTCTCACTCTATCCATTTGTTTCTCATGATTTTTGATTTTTGTTTCGATAAAATTATTAATAAAAAAATGAATAAAAACAAGAATTTTAATCCGGCAAAATATGAATAAATTTTATTTTGAAAAAAAGTGAAAAGAGTCTTTTGTTTTTTTTTTTTTTTTTGCTTTGAACTAGAATACATTTACTACAAAGAAAATTATTATTTGAAGGTAGATGTGAAATCAACGAATATGTGCTGAAATTAGAAAGAAAAATGAACTAATATTAATGAAAACATTAACGGATAAACTTGAACTAATAACAATATCATGTATCAATGTAAAACCAAATGATCGTTCGATTGGTGTACCAAACTGGATAAATAATATTCAGATAGAAAAACAAAAGGTGATCATTATAATGAAGAATGAAAAAAATACAAAACAAACCTTGATCAAATTTTTCGATGTAACAATATTACGTTTTAAATAGAAAAAATGAAGACATTGTTGTTTGATAGTAAAAAATTTTCTATCTTCATATTCAAGCATTGATGAACTATACATAAAAATAATTAACATTGTTGTTATACCGGTTGTTATTTGTAAAATAACTAATGTTATAGCTGGTGCTAATTTTGTATAAACAACAACCGATATAAGATATGTTGCTTGTAAACTAAGATCAATAAATATTGTTGTTACAAATCGTCGTAATTGTTTACTTGCCGAATAAATTTCCTGTCGTAATTTACCATATAAACGATTAATACGATAAATTTCAACATTAATTTGTCTAAATAATATTCGTTGATTGATTAATTGTTGTTGTTGTTGATCATCCAATTGATTATATTGTTGAAAAATTTTTTGTAAACGTATTAAACGTTTTTTTAGATTACGTTGTCGTAAACGAAAATAATATTGTAATAATGATACAAATATTGGTCCAAAATATTGAGCTAATTTTTTTTAATTTAGTTGTTATTTAAATTATAAATAAATAATAATAATTTTGTAATTTTTAAATACATTACCTACAGATAGATACCAAAGATTAACATGTACAATAATAAACCATATAATTGTCCAAAACATTGAAATTTTATATGCTTCAAGTTCAATGATTATTGGTATAAAACCAAATGGATTTACTAATTCAATAATTAATGCAAATGTTCGTACAATTGAAAAAATACGTTCACGTAATTGTTTAAATCGTTTGAATTCATCATCATCCAAATAATGATTATTATTTTCATTCAAACGTAATATACGTAAAAATTGAAATTTTTTTGCTCTTGTTGGTAAACAATAAAACATCATAATAACAACAGAAAATGCAGCAATAGTCCATGCTGTAAGAAAATATTCACGTCCTTCAGATGGATTAAATCTGGCAAACGTACCGATAAATGCAAATTTTTGAAAATAATCTGGTCGGATTACATAAAGACCAGCACCAATTGTTTGTATTGTTGACATTAAACCAGGTAATATTACATTCCAAAATGATCGTTTTATTTGTCGATTATCATTAAAATCAATTTGATCATAATCAATTCGTTCCCAATCATATTTATATGAAGATTGATGTCGTTTTTGTTGTTGTTGTTTTTGTTGTTGTTTTTGTTGTTGTTGTGGTTGTTGATTTGTTCGTCTATGAAATTGACGAATATAATCATCATAATAATAAAAATAATAAAAATGATTATTAAAATTTCGATAATATTTATTATGCATCAAACGTTTCCATAATTTTGTTTCCAAATCTAAAATATAATTCATTTTTTCAGAAGAATATCATTTTTTTCGTTCTGCAAACAAAAAAAATGATTAAAACAAAATATTCAGAAAAACCTAACCGATCATCATCATTATATACAGAAGGAAAATTTTCTTTCATCTCTTCATCAAAAAAAGAAATTCAACAGAAATTGTCATTTTGAAAGAAGAAGAATAATAATTATGATTATGGACTGAAAAATTGGAAAATTCATGTTGTTTTTTATTTGTTTAGAATTTCTCTGTAATGGTCACGCAATTTCGCAAACACACACAAATTTCGAAGAAAATTTTTTACTGTTATTTTTTTTCAAAAATTTTATTTCATTTTAAATTAAGAATCAATAAACACTGTGAACGAATAATGTTTACATTATTATTATTTTTAAATAATAAAATGTAACAAACTAATAAATTAATTTCATTTTTTTTTAACTAACAACTGAAAATTATTATTATTATTATTATAAATTTATCTTTCTTTCGTTCGTTTTTTTAACGAATTTGTGGAGCAATCAAAAAGAAAAATGTACTAATATTAATGAAAACATTAACAGATAAACTTGAACTAATAACAATATCATGTATCAATGTAAAACCAAATGATCGTTCGAACGGTGTACCAAGCTGGATAAACAGAAGAAAAAAAGAAATTGAAAAGAAATTGAAAATTGATTGTCAAATCAAATAATAATAGAATGCTACCTTTATAGAATTTTTAGTTGTAAAAATATTTCGATTAATATTACCAAGATTAAGACATTTTTGTTTTTGAATAAAAAATTTTCGATCTTCATATTCAATCATTGAACAACTATATAAAAATATAATCAACATTGTTGTTATACCGGTTGTAATTTGCATTATAACCACTGTAATAGCTGGTCCAATTTTAGTAAATAATACTATGGATATAAGATATGTTGATTGCATACTTAAATCAATGAATATTGTTGTTACAAATCGTCGTAATTGATTACTATTTGAATAGATTTCTTGTCGAAGTAAACCATATAAACGATTAATACGTAAGAATTCATTATTTATTTGCCTTATCCATATATATCTATTTGATGATAGATTTTCTTGATTCAATAAACGATTATTTAAACGTATTAAACGTTTATATAGATTACGTTGTCGTATACGAAAATAATATTGTAACATTACAATAAATATTGGAAAATAATATTGCGCTTTATTACAAACAAGAAAAGATTTTCATTATAATTAATTGAATTAAAACAAAAACAAAAAACTTACTCATAAAAAGATACCAAATATTTGTATTGATAATTATAAACCAGAATATTGTCCAAAACATTGAAATTTTATATGCTTCAAGTTGTATAATTGTAGGTATAAAACCGAATGGAAATACTAATACAACAATAACAATAAAACTACGTACAGCCGATAATATACGATCACGTGATTGTTCAAATTGTTTAAATTCATTATTTGTTAAACAATGATGATGATAATCATTTTGATTTAAATAAAGTATACGTAAAAATTGATAATTTTTTACTTTTGTTGTTATACAATAGAACATCATAATAATAACGGAAAATGCTGCAATAGCCCATGCTGTAAGAAAATATTCTCGTCCTTCGGGTGGATTAAATCTGGCAAACGTACCGATAAATGCAAATTTTTGAAAATAATCTGGTTGGATTACATAAAGACCGGCACCAATTGTCTGTATTGTTGACATTAAACCTGGTAATATTATATTCCAAAATGATCTTGGTATTGGTCGATCGCTATTATAATCAATTTGATCATAATCAATATATAATTCATCGGATAAATAGTTATTTTTATCGAAAATATTTGCTGTTGAATCATTATTTCGATAATAATTTTGTCGTATATAATTATCATAAAAATAAAGATAAAAAATATGATCATGTATACGACGATAAAATCGATTATGCATTAATCGTTTCCATAATTTTGATTCATAATCGAAAAATTTTATCATCCAATAATAATAATTATTTAATAAATTAATTGATCGATAATATTCCATATTGTTTGGAATTTTACAAATGATTTAGGTTTTGTTTTGTTTTGTCATTTTTTTAATGAAATGAAATGTATTCATTATCATTGAGTTTAAATAATAATTTTTGTTTTCCTGTTGCTGTTTTGCTTACTTATTACGCAGGTTGATAAAATGTTAAAAGTTAAAGGATAATTTAAAAAAGAAAAAAAGAAACTTTTTTTATGAATAAAAAATCAATTATTCATTTGGAATTGTAATAATGGAGTATAATGGCGTAAAACTTTAATTGAAACAAAGGGAAAATTTTTCTGAATAAAAAAATTAATTTAATTTTTTCATTTTTTGTTTTGTTTTGATATGAAAATTTTATTTTTCCATTGAAAAAAATGAATAAAACACAAATTATAAATGGCTTGTTTTTGTTTTGTTTGAGAAATTAAATTATAGTTGAATAATTACCTTGTAATAAAGCTGTCAAATAGCTCATTATGAAGAATAGAGGAATAACGACAATCTAAAAGATCACGCAAGATGTGACAGGAAATCATATCATTATCATTATTCATATTGAGTTTTTCCATGGAACAAAAAAATAAAGTCAAGTGCATTTCATTTATTTACCGAATTAATAAAAATCAATAATTTTTTTGCGCCAATTCAAAATTCAAAATTTATTCTATTTCGACAGCAAACGTCTGGTTGAATCTTTTTTGTTTCGATGAACGTATTTGATCAACAATTTTCGTGTTTTTGTTTTTGTTTTTTTTTAAATAAAATCAAATATTTTGAATCATTAAAATTGTTAAATAAATTGAATCAAAGATGTCTGATGATGATAATAATCAACAACAACAACAACAGAATCAGCCAATTGAAAAGTCCAAAGCTGAATTGGATAATGACATTCAGAATAATTTGCAAAACAATGACGAAGAATTTAGTGAATTTCGACAGATGATTTGTTCAATCATTCCTCCATTACAACCTGAATTTCATAAAGGTCAAGCTGGTCGTATTGGATTAATTGGTGGTTCACGAGAATATACTGGTGCACCATATTTTTCTGCAATAAGCGCTATGAAAACCGGTGCTGATTTATCATATATTTTTTGTAGTTCAGATTCAGCATCGGTAATCAAATCATATAGTCCAGAATTGATTGTATATCCAGTTTTGGATCAACCAAATTTTCTTGATGATTTTAATGCAATTTTACCGAAATTACATGTACTTGTTATTGGTCCAGGACTAGGCCGTAATGATCAAATATTGTCAAACATTGGTACGGTAATCGCACAGGTTAAAGAACGAAACATGCCAATCGTATTGGATGCTGATGCCTTATATTTCATATCAAAATGTCCGGAAATTGTTCGTAGCTATACATCGGCAATATTGACGCCGAATGTAGCTGAATTTGATCGACTATATTCTGCAGTGTTTCGATCGGATTCAAAACTATCAAACAAAAATGTTGGTGATGATGACGCACGATCGGCTGTTGAATTATTAGCAAAAACACTTGGTCATATTACCATATTACGAAAAGGTCCAGTTGATATTATATCGAATGGTTTAATCACCTATGCATGTCGTGAACAGGGAAGTAATCGTCGTTGTGGTGGTCAAGGTGATTTACTATCCGGTGCATTAGGTACATTTACACATTGGAGTCATAAAGCATTCGAATCGAATCAAATTTCTGGTTCATCATCAATTTATCAAAATTATTCACCAACATTGTTAGCCTGTTTAGCAGCATCAATGTTAACAAGACGTTGTGCACGATTAGCATTTCAAAAACAGGCACGAAGTACAACAACCACTGATCTTATTAAAGAGATTAAAAATGCTTTTACCACATTATATCCTGTTGACTAAAATTATTATTATTAAATTATTATTTTTTTTGAAATAAAAATCATTTTTTAAAGAAAAATATCTATCTTTCATGTGATTCTATTTTATTTTGATCATTTTCTATGGTGGAAATTTTTGAAACTTTAAATTTTTCAAATTTATTTTCAAGAATTTTAGCTGTTAATTTTGTTTGTTGTTCAACAATTTCAAGTATTTCTTGATTTTGTTTTATTTGTTTTTCAAGACGATCAATTTGTAAATATAATCGATCAACTTGACAGATTAATTCTTCATGTCCAACAGTATATTGTTCCATAATATCACCAAAATCATATGGACGCATAGCACGACGAAATCTACGTCTTGCCAATAGAAATTGTAATGTAATTATAAAACGAATACAGACAATTTCCGGTGGATTTATACGTTGAACATCATTATTATTATTATTATTATTATTCATTGTTGAATAACGTTTTCGACGTGAAAATACGGCTCCATTTTCATGTTTGCGATAATGAAAATAACGCCATGCTAATTTAATAAAACGTACAGCAGCTAAACGTCGTTGACTAATATGTCGACAACGTTGTTGTTCTTGAATCTTGAAATGACCAGAATAAAAAATATGACATAAATAAAAATGAAATTAATGAAAATTAATTCGAATACCTTAAGTGCTAATCCGGTACTTAGAACACCGGCCGGTAATGCAAATTTAAAGATGAATAAAAAGAAAAAAATTGATGCTAAAACTTTACCTACATTGGTAGCTGGTGTCATATCACCATAACCAATTGTAAATAATGAAACAATTGACCACCAAAATGTTTTTGGTAATGATGTAAAATCAGTTTGATTTTGTGTTTGTTCAGCAAGAAACATAACAAATGTAACAAATATAAGCCATACTAAACACATATAGAATGTGATTAAAAATTGATAACGTTGTTGCCATATAACTGATGTTAACATACGCCATGGTTTAAAACGTTCACCCATACGTAATATATGCAACCATTGACCAAGTCGTAAAAATAGCCAATATTTATCATTAACAGTATAAAATTTATGATCAGTATAATGACAATAAGCAATTGTTAATGTAACAAATAAAATCATTATATCAAATAAACCGGAAAATGAACGTAAAAATCTTAAACGACCATTAATTCCTTGATATTTTGGTTGACAACTTGATGACCAATAAATGGCAACCGATTCACCAATAACAAACATACAGATTAATGAATCGAATATGATTGAAATCGGACGAATTGATTCTGTTAATTCTGTTCATTCGTTTTTTTAAAAAAGAAAAGAAATAAATGGTAAACAAATCAATAACAATGTTGAGAATTTAAGTACATACCTGGAATAGTTGCAACTGCAAAACAAAGTAATGAAATAATAATTAAAATAATCAATGAAACATGATACATAATTGCATGAAAATTATTTGGCCTTCGAAGAAAATTATAAACTATAATACGTTTTGGCATATATGGTATTAATAATGGTCGATGATGATGATTATGATGACTTCGGTGATGATGATGATTAGTTTTGGGCATCGAGGTTTTTTTTGTTGGCAAAGAATTTGCGGCATAATTTTCAACATCTTTAACCTGTTCATCATCATCATCATCGATCATTTTCGTTGGAATCGAATTCAATTTTTCATTCATTGATTGTAAATTTTTGAATGATAATATTTTTACTTTTAGAAATTTTTTTCGTAAAATGGAAATAAACATTATGATTTTAGAAAAAAAAGAAGAGAAGATTTTCAAAGACCAACAAAATAAAAAAAAATTGAAAATAATCAAATGAAAAGTATGAAGTCCAACCCGATTAATGATGATAATGATGACAACAATAAATAATAATAGTAGTAGTCATTGACAAGACTTTATATTTTATTTTATTTTATTTTCTTTTTTTAAAAAAAAGATGATTACAAAAGTAAGATAATTGTAATAAAAATTATTGGTTATTATCATAAAATTTTTGTTTTTTTTAAAATCTATTTTAAGATCGATAGGATTTATGGAGAGATAAAATTTTGAAATGGTAAAAAATTGAATTTCCATCATTCATAGAATCGTTTCATAGAATCGATTGTTATCGATTGTAATTGAATTCGAATCGAATTTTAAAGTTGTTGTTGCTGTTGAAAGAATGGATTCGAATAGAATTTTTTGTTTTTTGATTGTTTCAACAACAAAAGAAAATATTATTCGAAAAACTTCAATATAAATGTTGATCAATATTTCGTTGGAATCGAAAAAATTAGTAACTGTGAATTGTGTTTGAAAATAAAGTGTTTGACGAAACGAACAACAAATTTGAAAAACAAATCGAAACAAACATTATCATCATCATTATCATCATCAACAACAACAACAACAAAAGAAAATGTTAGAAGCAAAAGAATCCAAAACAAAATCACGACCAAGATCACCAAAAGCATCACATCGTGGTTGTTTACAAGATTATTATTATAGATTAAAAAGTAAATTTGATCAATATATATTTCAACTACGAATGAATCCAACTGCAAAACCAATATTTCGTGAATTCATTATCTACTACAAGATGGCGACAATATTCATTCGACCGATGGGTGTTTTTACCGGTACAATGGCTAATGAATTTCGTTCAATTATACCATATAATCGTATTCGACGATCAACCGGTGAAATCGGTTGGTTACCATTTTTAATTGATGATGCATATATGATGGCTGATCGTAGTTATCTATTACAAACAATCGATAAATCAAATCAAGTTTCAGCATTAATTATACCGAAAAATTCGGGTGAAGTTACTGTATTAGGTGAAACATATTATGGATTTCGTTTCGATGCAAAAACAATGGCCGAAGGTGTTTTTCAAAATCATTTAGAAGTTAAAGGTAATATATCACTTGGTCAATATTCGGATAAATTTGGTTGGGAAATAAAAGAAAAACGTTTACGTTCTGATTGTATTGTTGAAGTATTATGTGGTACATTATCGGTTATAATTTGTGATTATCGTTGGATTGCAATGATACCGGATCTTGATTGTAGAATATCGATGAAATTTTTGTTTACAAGTAAAACATCAACAAATGATATACGTGGTATGAAAGAAGTTCAAGTTTCCGGTTTAGATCTACTTGAACAACATGCTTCGGTTATGAAAAAAGACCGTATAACATCAAAACGATCTGCAGATAAAAGTAAAAGTAAAACAACAATGACTATAACAAAATCTAAAAGTTCAACAAAATCATTAAAAACATCAATATCGCCTGGTAAATCAAAAAAATCCAAAACATCATTATCGTCTGGTAAAACAAGAAAATCAAAAATATCATTATCGTCTGGTAAAACAAGAAAATCAAAAATAACATATTCGTCTAGTAAAAAAAGGAAATCAAAATCATCATTATCGCCCATTAAAAGTAAAAGTAAACGAAAAACTCATAGAATTTCACCAAAAACACATCCAAAACAATCGAAAAAACAAATTGAAGAGTTAGCAAAACAAATCGAACAATCAATAAAACAAAATGAAAAACAAATAAAACTAACCGAACAACAAACAAAACAAATCGAACTTCTAAAAGATCGTATTCGTGAATTGTATGAACAAAAACGTCAACAAAAACAACATCAAAAACAAACCGATGATCAAATTCAACCGATACCTGGTCCAATTAATGTTCATCCGAAAAAAACAACCAAAGTTACTTCACCAATCAAACTGCCCGAAAAGAAACCAAAATCATTTAAAGTAATGATTGAAAGAACAAGTCCAAAAACTAAATCATCTAAATTATCATCTCCTGATATTATTACGATTAAAATTATTCCAGAAAAAATGGGCGAAAAATCAAAACAAGATGATGATACAATACAATTAGTTATATCGCGTAAATCTCAACCAATCTCGGAAACAAAATCAACAAAACCATCATCATTAAAAACTTCTATAATTAAAAGTAAACAATCAACAGATCCGATAGAATTACCAGGAAAATTAAATGATTTTAAGATAGAAGTAAAAACAACCGTAGAATTGATGAAAGATGGAAAACCAATAGAAATTATCGATACTACTAATGTTACAAAAGAACCGGATCCTAAAATCACTGCTGATGGTATTGTTACTGATGGTATTGTTACTGTTGATGATGGTAAACAAGAACATTCACATTCTATATCTCAATTAAATGAACCATTGTTGACTATACATATGAAAAAACAAGAATTTCATACTTTGTCATCATCGGCAACGGATAGTGGAGGAAAATTATCGCCATCGCCAACAACAACAGCAACAACAACAGAAACCGAATCATCTTCAACACCGACAACAACAGAAACCGAACCATCTTCAATGAAAACAGCAATAGAACCAACGGTATCACCATCAAAAAGAAAGAAAAGATCAACATCATCAAAATCGTCGAAACGTAAAAGCCAAAAATCCAAATCCAAATTATCATTGATGAAAATCAAAACAGATGTAAAATCAAAATCTGCATTGATGAAGGACAAGTTGGATGAAAAACCAAAATTGATGAAAGAAAAATCGAAATCAAGATCATCGAAGAAAAGTAAAAAATCTAAATCTAAATTATCATTGTTGAAAGTAAAATCGAGATCAAGATCATCGAAGAAAAGTAAAAAATTGAAATCTAAATCTAAATTGTCATTGTTGAAAGTAAAGTTGGATGGAAAACCTAAATCTTTAAAGATGGGAGCTAAAATTGAAAAGTCTAAATCAATATCGAAGAAAGGCAAAATGGAATTAAAACCAAAATCGACATTACTGAAAGTAAAATCGAAATCAAGATCAAAGAAAAGTAAAAAATCGAAATCCAAATTATCGTTGTTAAAAGTTAAGTTGGATGAGAAACCAAAATCGTCAATAATGAAAGAAAAATCGAAATCAAGATCGAAGAAAAGTAAAAAATCTAAATCAAAATTATCATTGACCAAAGTCAAGTTGGATGAAAAACCGAAATCATCATTGATGAAAGGTAAGTTGGATGAAAAACCAAAATCGTCAATAATGAAACAAAAATCGAAATCAAGATCGAAGAAAAGTAAAAAATCGAAATCGAAATTATCATTGACGAAAATAAAGTTGGATGAAAAACCGAAATCGTCAATAATGAAAGAAAAATCGAGATCAAGATCGAAGAAAAGTAAAAAATTAAAATCTAAATCATCATTGACCAAAGTTAAGTTGGATGAAAAACCGAAATCATCATTGATGAAAAGTAAAATGGAAGTAAAACCAAAATCGTCATTAATGAAAGTGAAATCGCGATCAAAATCGAAGAAAAGCAAAAAATCAAAATCAAAATTATCATTGACGAAATTTAAAGTAGAAAAATCAAAATCAAAATCAAAGAAAAGTAAAAGAAAAACGGGTGGTAAAACAACGATTGAAATGGAATTGAAATTAAAAGTGCCAACAAAAACACCGAAAACAAGATCACGACGATCATCAAAAAAAACAATTAGTTTATTGAAACCTAAAACATCGAAAGCAACAATTACAGTGATGAAAAAAACTCATACAATAAAAAAACAAGTTGTACGACGAAAATCATTATCACCAAAACCTGTTGATATTTTAAAAAAACGACCTTCTGCTAGTCGTTTGAAATTGGAGAAAAGTAAATTTGAAGTAATAAAACGCTCACCATCATCATCATCATCACAATCATTACAAACTAAATCAATACCAACAGCGAAAACAACAAAATCAAAATCATCAAAATCGAAAAAGAAAAAAATAACACCACCAATATCGCCATCATTACAAAAGGTTAAGGTAATTATTCCGGGAAAGGTATCACCATCAACAAAAAGTCGCAGTAAAAAAAACAAATTATCACCAACACCCAGAAGTGGTAAAAAAGGGAAACCATCTCCATCAATTAAAAGTTTTAGTAAAAAAGCAAAATTAGCTTCATCAATTAAGAGTATAAGTAAAAAATTGAAACATTCACCAAGAAAAGCTTCAAAACAAGATTTGAAATCAGCATCATCAATATTGATGGTACAAAAAATCAAGGTACATTTACCAAGTAAAGTAGCAATAAAATTATCACCATCCGCAAGTAAAAGTAAAAAAAATCTTAAATCACCATTTTCCAAACAACAACGTAAAACAATAAAACAAAATGAATTTATGATGAAAAATTCTCCAGCAGCAAAAACAACGGCAACCATACCAAGAACATCACCAAGACGTACATCCTCAAAATCGAAAAAAAATAAACGTCAAACAACAATGAATAAAAAAACCGGAAAACAAAAAACAATAACAGGTACTGATGATAGTATTGATGGTTTAATCAAAACAAAAGCAATGTCTAAAAAAAAGAATGATGGTAATACTAGTAAAAAGAAAAAGTGATAAATTCTTTTTTTTTTAATTCATGAAAATTCATTCAATTTTTGCAAAACGAAACCAAAAATAAAAACAAAAAAAAAAAAAAAAATGACTAGCGTCCATCCCCAATTGGAATCCCCAAATGTTCTTCTGTATATTGAATGGGATAGGATTGAGAAAAATAAAATTATTAAGGCACATTATTGGTGAATGATTTTTTTGAATTGAAACAAAAATAGTTAAATTAAATGTGTGATGTAACAAATATTTACAAATACGAATAATTAAATTAGATTAAATTAAATTTCTTCTTCATCATCATCGTCATCATAATCATCATCATCATTATCGATTTGTAATGATGATGGTGATTGATTATATTTATATGTTTTAAATTGAAGATTTCTTCTTGATGTTTTTGCTTGTTTGTTGGTGTGTGATTGTTGTTGATTTTGATTGATCATTAATGATGAATTAATGTTGGCAAGATTCTGATCATCTTCGTCGTCGTCGTCATCATCGTGGTCATCGTCGTGGTCATCATCATCATTATTCATAATATGTTTGACCAATGAAATTGGATTAATCTGTTCATCAAGATTTATCCATGATGAAGAATGTTGATGTTGTTGTTGAATAATATTATCCATTAACGGTGATGATGATGATGATGATGATGATGGTGGTGGTTTATGATTTATTGATTTTGATGATACTGTATTACGATTTGATGATGATGATGATTTTGTACGATTATGTTGACTAGTTGATTCTGGATGTTCTTTTTTCTTATGTTTATATAATGCAAATTCATTTTCACATGGAAATGAACAAATTTGACAATGAAAATTTTGTGGTTTATGTTGCCAAATATGACGAATCATTGATGCTTGTGATTTTGTTGCATATGTTGGTCCATCAAAACATTTTAAACAAACATATTGATGACCAGGTGAACCATCAGGCATACGTTCACGACGAAAATAACCGGGAAATTTTTTCAATGAATAAAGACCATTCTTATCACGACTATTATTACCGCTATTATTTTGTTGTTGTTGTTGTTGTTCAGAATTTAAATCATCTGGAATTGATTCATTTGATTCAATTTCCATATTAATATTATTATTATTATTATCATATAATTCTTCTTCATCCGGTTGTTGTTGTTGTTGATTTTCAATTTGTTGTTCTTTTTGTTGTTGTTGTGATGATAATTTTTGCATTGGTAATATCATTGTTGTTGATGATTGTTGTTGTTGTGAATGATATTTTTTCATATGTTTTTTTATTGATTGTCTACAACGTACAATATATGATTGACATATTCGACAACGAAATTCATTTGAACCATCTGGATTTTTTATTCTATCAAACATTGTTAAATTGGATGTTTGTGTTGATAATGTTTGTTGATCATATCTATGTTGCTGTTGTTGTTGTTGTTGTTGCTGCTGAGATTTTAATAATTCTTCAATAACCGATTGATTCATACCATTCAAAAGTGTTTGCGATTGTTGTTGTTGTTGTAAGAATAATTGTTGCTGTTGTTGTGATTGTATAAACATCAAGAATTGTTCAAATTGTTCTTTAAAATTCATTGAATTCATTATTGAATCCTGTTGTTGCTGTTGTAAAACATTCATCGAATTATCATTGTTCGATGATGATGATATAGATGATATTGGTTGTTGAACAATTGTTTGTGGCAAATATGATGATGATGATGATGATGAAATTGCAGCAGGAACTGATGATAAATTGGATATTGATGATGTTTGTTGCTGTTGTTGCATTGGAGCAATAACCGGAATCGGTGATGATGTTATCATCGATGATGATGATGATGATGTTTGTTGATGTATATTTTTACGATGTTTATATAATGCAACTTCACTATCAAAAATTTGATCACAATTATCGCATGTAAAATTTTTATATCCATTCTCTATCCATAGATGTCGTACAAGTGTTATCTGTGATGGTGCACGTAATTCACAATGATTACAAATAAATTCAACAACATTTAATTCATTACGTTCTTTACGAAATTGTCCTTGAAAATTTTTTAAACTATAAAGACCATTCGATGGTTGTTGTTGATTTATTATTGATGGTGGTGATTTTATCTGTTGCTGATGATGATTATCATTAGCATCATCATTATTATTATTAGTAGCCATAATATTGTTTTGTTTATTATTATTATTATTATTATCAATGGTCAATTCATTTTCACTATTATAATCATCATCATCATCATCATCATCATCTACATTTGTTAATTGAATCATTGATGATGTTTGTTGTAAATGTTCAATAATTTGATTTTGTCCATTTATTGAATGATTATCATCAATATCTTCATCAATATCATCATCATCAATATCAACATCAACATCGATATCATCATCATCATCATCATCATCAATATCATCTTCAATATCATCAAAATCTTCAATAGGAAAATCTTCGAATGAATCTTCATTCATTGTTGTTGTTGTTGTTGTTGTAGTTGTTGATGGTGATAATGATAATGGTAATTTTTTTTGTTGTTGTTCGCATGGTTTTGATTGAATAATTTGTCTTCGTTCAGGATCATATGATTGATTATCAAATTCATTTAATTGTACTTCAACATTTGCTGCCAATGGTGATGTTGATAATTGATCATTCGAATCATTTGAATCATCATAATAAATTATTGATTTTCGATCATCAATATTGTTATTATTCTGATGATTTTTTGTTGTTGTTGTTGAATATTCTTGTTGTTGTTGTTGTTGTTGAATATTATTATAATTATTATTATTTGATTGATTTGAATTGTTGTTGTTGTTGTTGTTATTATTATTTGATGCTGAAAAAGGACAAATATGTTGATTATGTACATGTCTTCTTATACTACCAGAATTATGTGTATGAAATTTACATTGACCAAATTGACATTGATAAACAAAAATATCATTATCTAATTGTCTTGAAAAATAATGTCTTATATTACGATCACCACATAAATTTTTTGGATCTTTCATTCGTTGATTATCGATACCAAAACCACAATTATGATTTTTTTTATGTTGTACTAATGATTCCGGTCGTTTAAACATTTTTCCACAACCAAATATATTACATTGTAATTTTTTTATACCAATATGTTTTAAATAAATATGTCTTGATATATGTTGTGAATAATTCCATGTTGAAAATTGACAATTATTCCATAAACATATATATTTTTTTTTACCATCAATTATTTGTTTATCAAAATATTGTTTTACTTTATTGATTGGATAAAGGCCACGATAAATTGAAATATCATCATTTGTTGTTGTTGTTGTTGGTGTTTCAATTGATTGATCTGCCACCTGTTGTTGTTGTCGTTGTCGTTGTTGTTGTTGTTGATCCATATTCATGGTCAACAAACAATTATTATTATTATTTGTAACAGAATTTTGTTGAAAAAAATTATTTGTAATCGATTGTATAACGGCCATATTTTTCGATAATATTTCTTCAGATATTCGTAATTGTTTTGTATATGAATCATTTTCATTCGAAATGTTAAGATTCTGTTGTCGTAGATTGTCCATAATATGTTCAATATTTTTTGATTTACGTTTTGAAGCCATCTATCTTGTTATTTTAAATGTTGAAAATGTAAAACACACAAAATCAAATTGTTCGATAGACTAAGATGATGACAAGATTCAGTACAAAAAATTCAACTTGGAAGACCAAGCAATAATTCTCAAAAAAATGATGTAACTTTTTGAACAACGAACAAACGAAGAAAAAAAATTGAATGTTCTCACGGTGTGTGTGTGTGTCTTGATGAAAAGGCGGACAATTTTTCTTTTTTTCATTCATCCATCGAAAATGAAAATGATCAATTCAATTTACTTTTATAGCAATTTTTTTTGTTAATGTTGTTTTGTTTTGTTCTATAAACGAATTTTAAAAAAAAATGATACGCAGATCTACAATGAGATATACAGAAAGAGTAGAAATAGACATAGCAAAATAGATAAGGTGAAACAAAAATGAAAGTGTTAATATTAAAAAAAAAATATCAATTGGCTGCTGCAAAATACATACACGCATAAGCCACGCCTATTTTAGGGATGTAAACATATATTCGGTACATGTAAATTCAGCGTGTGTATACATACATACCATACATGAATTATATAGAAGATTTCATCATCTATTTCAATTGTTTGAAGGGATTGTTTGATTGGATTTACTTTTCGATTCCATTGATTGATTGGATGATGGTGGTGCGTGGTTAATGATAAGGATGATGATGATGATGATGATCAAAATTTCGACAAAACAAAAATGAGGATTAAAATTGATTCAATTTTGAAAATTTGAAACAAACAAACAAACAAAAAAAGAAAGGTGTGCATCAAGCGTCCGGAAAAAAAATTTATCTGGATTTGCTTGATTTGATGCAATAATTTCAATCTTTTCTTTTCTTTTGTGTGTGTGTGTGTGTGTGTGTGTTATTTTTCTTGATTATCATCATGGTAACCTGCTACCACCACCAAAAATCATCGATGATTATGATGGTAATGTTCGACAATCTCAACAACAAACAAAAAAAACAAGCTATTTTGGATGTATATGACAACAAAATAAGATATGTACAAAAGAGAGAGAGAGAGAGAGAGAGAGAGAGAGAGAGAGAGAGTCGATGATGATGATGATTTTCAATTATGCGTATTTTTTTCAATGAATCAAGGAGGGAGAGAATTTTTTTTTTTTTTTNGAGAGAGAGAGAGAGAGAGAGAGAGAGAGAGAGAGAGAGAGAGAGAGAGTCGATGATGATGATGATTTTCAATTATGCGTATTTTTTCAATGAATCAAGGAGGGAGAGAATTTTTTTTTTTTTTGGTTTCTTTGTTTCAGGTAAAAAAAACCTGTCATCATTTTTCTTGGTTGTCAAAGAGATGGTTTTATTTGGTAAAAGAAATTTCTTGAGAATTTTCATCCCCGTTCTTTGCCCAACACGACGTTTTTTTTGTTTGTTACCACTTTTTAATGTTCGATAAATGATCTAAATCATCATCATCATCATCATCGTCAATATGCAATTTTCAAAAGAATTTCTGATAGACAACAACAACAATTAAAAAAACATCTCAATGTCATTATAGAGAAAAACAGGAGGATATTGATTAGCATTTGGATTCGAATCATAAAAAATTTTTTTTTGCTCGAACAATCGATACAATCGATATTATGATGAATTTTTTTTATTCCGGATGAAAAATATTTTTCAAAAATAAATAAAATGATTATTTGATCCATGGTAACAATTATCATCATGTTTTTTTTTCTGAACAATTTTTTTTCTTCTTCGAAAACTGAATATTTGATTCGAACATTTACTTTTTATTTTCAATCCAAACTTTGAATGGATAAAGCTTTGTCTATCACAATCAACAACATTGGTAAACATCCGCAAAACATTTTACAAACACAAACACACAAGTTAAGGTCGATACCATCAAAGTTATTTTATTTTATTTTTTTTTACTATATTTACTTATGATTTGATTATGATTCATAAGATTGATGTTGTTGTGGTTTGTTTTAGATAAGCATTTATTATTATTTTAAAATATGTATTTACATGTGTTTCTTTTTTGATCTTTGATAATAAGGGATATAATTTAGAGGGAAAAACATTCGAATTTGAATTCAAATTCTGGTCATTTTTTTCGTTGAAATTTTTCAAAAAAAAGTTTCAATTTTTGTTGTTTGTTGAAATGTTTCAACAACAGCAAAAATTCATTTCATTTATGAGCAGCTATTTTTTTTTTGTTCGAATTTGTTCCTTCATAAATGACGTTTCCGTTTTTGGTAAACATTCGAATTCGATTTGATTATTTAACGAAAGGTGAAATGAAATGATTGGATTTTCGAAAATCCAAAAAAAAGTATGGTTACCATTGGTTATTATCATCATAATCATTATCATTATGATTTTGAGAACATGAAGAGAGAGTGAGAGGGAGAAAATTAAAAGAAATCAACAATAGTCATCATCATCATTTTTTTCGTTTTTTTGTTTCATGAATCCGAATGGCTATGACTTCCGTATAATGTTGATATTTACAGATTACATCAATAAGTAAAG